CTGTAATAGCCATGAGATGCTCCAAAAATACCCCGCCCCCCCCGGCGCCCTCTCAGGGCAGATCGAATGTCTCCCTCCATATCTGGCGACCATGACCACAAATTAAGAGCGAGCTGCTGTGAAATCTTCCCTCCTGGCGTCTCCGGGTTTGAGCGCGCCCAGAAGGATCCAGAAACCTCTCAGTAAACGTGTGAACATCATCGACACACGATTAAGTGTTACAGCGGCCCTGATCGCCACGGCGACGAGGACGACCACAAGGACACGCACCTTTAAAGTTAGAATTAACAACGAACATGAGCGTTTAAATCTGATTGGCTGAGAGCGGCCGTTAAATGAAAGTTGGTCATTAACTAACACCCCGCCCCCCAACTGTAAATCTTGACTTCATAACGAGGGCGGGACCTCAGATCCACGTGGGCGGGCTCACCAACTGTTGTCCCGGCGTCGACACCTTCGAATATGTTGACAAACGTTCACAACAACCGACCGCCATGACACAGAGGGGGCGGGACCAAGCAGGGCTGTAAGTGTTTTAGCAGAGAGGAGGACGAGAACACGCCGTCATCCTGAAACATGGCCGCCTGCAGCCAGACGCCGTAAATCATGAGGGGACGGAGTTTCAGCGCCGTGTGACCCAGAACCTGATTCTGCAGAACCTCCTCCACTGCAGGAGCACGCACGTGCATACCTGTGTGTGCACGAGAATGCATGAACAATGAGCACACACACACACACACACACACGTGCACGCACATACACACATGCACAGTGGGGGCAGAGAGGATAAGAAAACAGGTCCAGGTCTGAGAGGACGCCTCCTCTCACCTCCCATTTCCCCTGATCAGCAGGAGGCCCATCTCCACGCCGCGGCTGACCCATCTGTCCGTCCCACAAACTGGACTCCTGTGTATTAGGGGGGGGGGGGGGGGCAACATCTGGGAACCATCAACCAGAAAGAGACTCAGATCCTGAGATTCCAGTCCTCGACCCCTGCTGCCCCTCCTCCACTCTGCTGAAACACCCCCACCACCACCTCCACCTTCCTCCTCCATCTGTCTCCTCCCTCCTCTCCTCCCTCCTCCTCCTCCTCCCTCCTCCTCTCCTCCTCCTCCCTCCCCCTCCTCCTCCTCTCCTCCTCCTCCGTTCCTCCCCTCTCTCCTCCCTCCTCCCCCTCCTCTCCTCCCTCCTCCTCCTCCTCCCACTCCTCTCCTCTCTCCTCCCTCCCCCTCCTCCTCCTCTCCTCCTCCTCCGTTCCTCCTCCTCCTCCTCCTCTCCTCCTCCCCTCCTCTCCTCTCCTCCTCTCCTCTCCTCTCTCCTCTCTCCTCCTCTCTCCTCCTCCTCTCCTCCTCTCTCCTCTCCTCTCCTCTCCTCCTCCTCCTCCTCTCCTCTCCTCTCCTCCCCTCTCTCCTCTCTCTCTCCTCTCTCCTGTCTCCTCTCCTCCCCTGTTCCTGGCTGTCCATCATTTCCCCGTCTCTTCAGCAGTGGACCCCCCCTCCCCACCACAGTGGGGGAGGTTCTGGTGTGGGTCCAGTCCAGGAGGTTCTGGTTCGGTCCAGGTTAGCAGGTTGGTCTATGAGTGAGCCCGGCCCAGAACACTTTAACAGATCCACTTTAGACTCGATCCTGCTGCGTTACACGCCGTCCAACCGCCAAGTCCACTTCCTGCTGCTGCTGTGAGGACCAACACAGCTGTGTGTGTGTGTGTGTGTGTGTCTCTCCCTCTCTCTCTCTCCCTCTCTGTCCCTCTCTCTCCCTCTCTCTCTCTCTCTCTCTCTCTCCCTCTCTCCCTCTCTCTCCCTCTCTCTCTCTCTCTCTCTCTCTCTCTCTCTCTCTCTCTCTCTCTCTCTCTCTGTCCCTCTCTCTCTCTCTCTCTCTCTCTCTCTCTCTCTCTCCCTCCCTCTCTCTCTCTCTCTCTCTCTCTCTCTCTCTCTCTCCCTCTCTCTCTCTCTCTCTCTCAGGTCTGTTCTGGACCACAGAGATCCTTTGGTTGGAGATCCTCAGTAGGGGGTTTCAGAGCTGGGGGGTATCCCAGGAGACCACCAGGCCTCCCACCGGGCGTCCTGCCAACATCAGAGCCCCCCCCCCCATACTGGTTTTTGTTAGTGGGGGGGCTGGTTCCTCTTTAGCATAATTGAATTAAAAGGATTAAGACGGTTCCTGTGTTCCTCACATCTGGGCTCTCCAGGATCTTCAGTCTCATCAGGGTAAAACTGAAGAGGATGGAAGGATGAAGATCTACAAGCTTCAGACTCTGGGGGTCTGCACTGGGACTGGACTGGACTGGGACTGGACTGGACTGGGTGAAGTCCTGAACCTCTGAGAGGAGACCCTGATCCACTTTGAAGCATCTCAGACCGTACACACTCACTGAGACTTCAGGGGAACATGTCAGAGAGCCACAGGTATGGATGATCTACAGCGTCACTATGATGCACGTACACGTGCACGTGCACAGTGAACATGTGACACGTGAGTGTGAACAGGTTTACATCATGTTATCGACGATTCAACACGACCATGAGAACATGAGAACATGAACACAGACACAGATGAGGGCGCTGTGCTCATGGATTATTATAAATCTGCAGAGGACTTCACCGTCCATCACAGCAGACACTCAGAGAGGCCGCCGCCACCGCCACCGCCGCAATAAAGTTCCTTTTACCTTCTTAGAAGAACACATTCATCTGAACAATCAGAGAGGATCTAAAAATCTAACAGTGTTTATTGGTCTCATGTCTTTTCCAACACAATAATCTCCTGCATCTGTGAGGTCTTTGTGTCTCTTTGGCGTTTTGTCGTAAGGCGTCGCTCTAGAGAAAGACGACTGAATGGTCGTCTGTTTCGGCTCCTCGCTCCTCTCGGGGTTTGTAACCTTTTGCGTTGCGCGTGCTCTGCGGCGTGGCGCTGCTTCAGGTGGTGAAAAAGATTTGAGGTATTCCCCGACTTTGTGAGAACATGTACTCGACATAATTTACAGTCCACATTACTCTGCTTCATGTCCGACCTCCAAAAACCAAAATACCTCCACACCACCGACGTTTTCCTAACGCCAGTGTTGTGGTTGACATTGATGTGGTCATCTGTTGAGCCTTCATGGTCATTTCTGTCGGGGGTAGCACTCATTTTCTTTGTTTCTCACCAACAGTGCTGTCGGCTTCACCTGTTAAAGTGCTATGGTTGGGTGGAGCTGCTGTCTGCTACGACGCTGCAGTTGGTTGATACTTGGTTCTAATTCAGAACATGATTGGTTCAGACCCGGAGACACTCCCCTTTTCATTGGCTGTTCGTATAGTCGACCAAAACATGTCAGAATGACGACTATTGAAAAGGATATTGATCATGTTTTATATTGATATTGAGGGAAATTAATTTTGGATATATATCATTATCGTTTTATCGCCCAAACAATTCCAGCAGCACAGAACTGTAAAGAGTCAAAGGTTGATGAAGATCTGACTCCTGAAATATAAAGTCTGTCTTTATTATGAAGAGATTAAAAACCACAGAGTGAAAATCTGTGGAAACAGGCTGAACTTCAGCAGGTCCACTGTGTTGGTTTTAGCTCCACCACGTCCCAATTGGATTGTGACGGAGGGTCAGGAAGCAGCGGCCTGCAGATCAGAGGCTGGATTAATTGTTGACACTCTCCTAGTCCAAACACAACCTTCACTACCCCCATTACACACACACACACACACACACACACACACACACACACACACACTCACTCCCCTCCACAGCCAGGTCCTGACAGACACTTTGATTTATGTCTCGCCACCAACAAAAAAAGAGGACAAAATCAATTGGCTATTACCGCACTTAGCGCCGGCCTGTCACCACCTGGGAGTCGGGTGTTGAAAACAAAAGACAGAGTCCATACGAGTCTTCCAGACCACTCCATAGACCGGATCCCACAGGGGGACCCGGATCAGAGCTCCGTATACACAGAGTGTGTGACGCCATGTTCGGGTGGAGGTACCGCAGAGGTCAGAGGAGCCGGCTGTGAACGGAGTGACGAAGGATGGAATAACCGATGTGGGAGGAGAGAGAGCGACGAGGACGACCACGAAACCCTGGAGCAGATCTGCCAACGGGAGAGAGCTGTGGGTGAACCGGGCCGCTCTAAGACGGGCCCGGTTCTGAAGAGAGAAAGTGAAGGACTGATTGAAGATTCAAGTTTCTGAAAAAACTCTGAAGAACTGAAGGAGATTTAGAGTCTGAACCATCTGGACCGAGTCTGACCGTGTTTACAGTCAGTCTCAGTTTAATCAGACTAACCTCATAACTCGTCTTTTTCTCTGAATCAGTCTTCTCTCCTCGTCCTCGTTTACATGCAGCTGAGAAAACTGAATTATTGACGTGAACGTGTCCTCCTCCCCAACACTAGGGGGCGATATGGGTCTTTTCAGCGTCTCTGTTTCCGACCCCATCCAACCGTCAACAACAACAGCAGGTCGGTGTCAGACGTCAGAAGTGTCTACAACTGCTGCTGGGCATTTTGGAGAAACAAGAAGATGGAGCATCGTACAGCGTTGTTTTTGTCCGACATGATGGACGCGCTACTTTTTCTAAAGAGGAGACCAACGCTACTCCTCTACTCTGGGGGTTTGTTACGGGGTTACGGGGGCGTGGCTTCATACTCCGACTACGCTGGTCACATGAGAGAGAAGATTATAGTCGGACTAAGGTGTTTACGTGACCTTCAGTTGTCCGGTCTTTATCGGAATAAGACGATAATTCGGTTTTCTTGGGTGTCATGGAAACGGACTGACTGAGGCACCGGGTATGAAGAGGACCAATCAGAGGGCGGAGCTTATCACACCTGCCTTCTGCACAGGTGTGTTCAAATCAGCAGAACTCGCTGCAGCCCTCCTTCCCCCTCCTCTCTCCTCCTCTCCTCGTCTTCTCTTCCTCTCTCTCCTTCTTCTCCTCCTCTCTTCTTCTCTCCTCCTCCTCTCCTCTTCGTGTACTTTATAAACTTTCGGAGCGCCCTTTTTAAAAACGTGTACTTCCTGTTTTTTCTGTCGTGAAGTCTTTGGCGGCGGCGGTGTCAGATCTGATGATGAAGCTCTCCTGATCACGGTCCTCTCCTCTGACATAATCGGACGCCGTCAGCTGTTTCAGGTCGGCTGAAATACTCCCCTGTAATCTCGCTGCACCCGCCACCCCCTCCACCTTTGTCTGACCCTCTGTCGTCCAATCAGAGCTGTCCGCCGTATTTGTTCGTTTTATCCCCGGTGGAAGCTATTCCAGGCATGCATCATGCAAGCAACAGAGAGATATTTTTATGGTCGGCCTTCAGGGGGCGGGGCTGAAAGAGGAGGGAGGGAGGGAGGGAGGGAGGGAGGAGGTGCATGATTTAGGAGCCATGACAGTTGTGATGTAATAAAAGTGAAGTCAGATACTGAGGAGAATAACCACGATTACAGCACGCCATCCTCTTCTCTCTCACCTTATAAGGGAGCGTTGAACGCCACACTGTTGTCGGCGGTGAAATGGGCCACATTGCATCACTCTCTCCCCCCTCCGTGTCATCTCGTCCCTCGCCAGCACAGGAACCATGTCTGACCCAACAACTGTGTGTCTGCCAACTGGAATGCAGGCCAGGGTCAGCGGCGGGGGCCTCATGGCCTCCCAGGGACTATTCTGAGAGCAGGAGCTCATCTCTGTTCTAACCCTATACTGGCGTCTTGTGACTGTGGTTAAAAACGGCCCGATGTGCTCACCGACCGCCGCTAAAAACAATATCACCCCCCCACCCCGCCCCACCCCCGCTCACTGGGGAGCTGCAAAGGAGAAACTGAGGGATGATGTGAAGGAGCCTCATGTGGTCCCTACAGCTCCTCTGACTTTTCTGCAGCGTCAGCATCGACGTCTTTACAGCCTCGCCGTCTTTACAGCCTCGGCGTCTTTACAGCCTCGGCGTTTGGCGGGAAAAACTTGGACCATGAAAACACGCATTTTTAACCTGGGGGGGTGGGGGGTTAAAGGAGCAGTGGGACAGCAGGTTCATGTGGGTTTTATAACAGGCTCCACAATCTGAAAAGCATCATGAGCCCCTCTTCCTGTGAGCGCGCTCTGTAATCACTGTGTATTTAGCGTTATCTTTAGAGAGCTGGCCCGCCTCAGACCTCTTTACGACGACACTGTAAACTTTAACGGCCGGGTCTTAGTGCCTTCACTCCACGCCACACACCCCAGGGAAGAACACAGCTTACCCACACAGCTCACAGGATCGCACGCTGAAAGCTTCTGTCGTCCATCTCTGCACATCCTGATCCTGATCCTGATCCAGCTGCTCGGACACCAACACCACACACACACACACACACACACACACACACGTCTTTATCTCTGTATGTATCTACAGGGAGACTCTCCACACACACACTTATGCTCTGTATCTGTGTGTGTATTATATATATTTATATATACACGTGTATTACATACATTTATAGAAACATATATACATATATTAATTATATATATACATATGTTTGTCATATACATATATATTATATACATAATTATATTATATATATACATTATTATATATACCTACATGTATATTTAAATAAACATGTATTTTATATCCATATAAATATGTGAGTGTTTTATACTATCTCTAAATATCTTACTGAGGTCACATTAGAACTAACCTTATTGTTGATTGATTTATCCGATATGTGATCAATGAATTCAGTGGAAACGATCAGTGTGATCTGGATCAGGTTTTTATGGATTATTGGTGTATTACTATCAGGAGATTCTGATCAGATCCGCCTGTTTTTCAGGGACCGGACAGAGACCCTGAGACTCTGACCCAAACTTTGGACCTGATCACACCCTGACACCTGAACACGTCTGGATCCTGTGAGGGATCACAGCGTCAGTCCTCAGACCCTCCTCAGACCCTCACAGCCCTCAGACCCTCCTCAGACCCTCACAGTCCTCAGACCCTCCTCAGACCCTCACAGTCCTCAGACCCTCCTCAGACCCTCAGTCCTCAGACCCTCCTCAGACCCTCACAGTCCTCAGACCCTCCTCAGACCCTCACAGTCCTCAGACCCTCACAGCCCTCAGACCCTCATGTTATCTTTAATAGTCCAAATGAATCCATACGCTCACCGACACATACCTGCTCTAATACTAAGTCCAGATGGTAGAACCCTGTTTTCTCATTGGTTGGAGGATATAAATACACGGATGCCCAATCCCCGTTGGCTGAGCTCTTCCTTCGTCTCCAACAGGAGCTGCTTTTTCTCCTCCGCTCTGCGTGTGATGGAGAGGCTCCTCGCTGTTAAATCATCTATTTCATGAGTTTCTGTCTCTCTGTCGGGATTAAAAAAAAACTCTTGGAGGAGGCTATTAGAGGCCGGCTGTGTTAATGCAGCCACCCATTAAAAAATCCCCACAGAGCTGAGGAGAGTGGACTGATACACTCAGAGTGTCTGCTGCACATGCACACACACACACACAGCCATGTTTTATTTTCTAACCAGCGCCTGCTCCACGTCTCCAAATCAAACCTCTGGATCAGAAAAGTCCGTGTTTCTCAGGAGTGGTTGGGCGATAAACCTGAGTAACACAGGCCCACAGCAGCAGCAGCACCTGTTCCAACACTCAGATTGCAGCAGCCCCAAGATAGCGGTCATCTCCGAGCGCCGCCTCACGTGAGCTCCTGTGGGCCGGGACTGAGCCGCCTTCTGCTGCAATACAAACAGGACTTTTATAGGCATGTTTACGAGCTCGTCGCCGTCCCCCCGTTTAGGGACAGGCCGGGTTGAGCGAGGCTGAGGCCGAGCTAGGCGAAGGGGGGGGGCAGGCGAGGATTGATGTCAGGCAGGACGGTCCGGCCCTGTCTGGGCGTCTGGGTCGTCTACCACGGCCTCTGCTCTCTGGTTTCAGCTCGGGTTGCTGTTTCATGTGGGCTCTCCTGCAGGGGGACACTAACTGTCAACATCGCTCCTCTGTGAAAGCCAGAGGTCGGCGCACACATGTGGTCCGTACTGGGATGGACCGTGTAGAGAGGGCACCCTGCTGAGAAAGTGAAGCCCATAAATACGAGCTGTGATCGGACGGCGGCGGCGCAGTCACACGGTCTCGGGACAGGAGGAGATTAGCAGAGGGACGGCCGCTCTCCTCGCCCCGACACTGAGCGGCGTGACTGCAGCTGTGTGAAAGGCCAGATGAGGCCCCGACTCCACGGGCTGAGGAATCATTATGGGCTCATAAAGGGCCCCGCGCCAAGCCTCCACTCAATAAACCCCCGTCCACACGGAGCCAATGCAGCTGATTAATTAGTCAAGCAATCAATGCGCTGCGCCTTCCATCCACTGATTTCCTCGAGCTTTTTGCACAGGTACTGCTGCAATTACTGCACGCACGCACACACACACACACATGCATGCTGTTAGCAAGAGAGCATCCACACAGACGAGCAATTACACCGGCTTCTCCGCTCTTCACTCACACACACACTTACCTTCCAATGATAATGAGACACAAAAACAAAGAAAAACACTTTGAATTGGGGATAAGAGGCGACGGAGAGAGAGAGAGAGAGAGAGAGAGAGAGCGAGCGAGAGAGAGAGAGCTGGGGGAATAAGTAAGAAAGTTCTCACCTTCAAAGCGGAGAGAGCGAGCTGGCTGTCAGTCAGGAGAGGGAGGGGCCATTTGAAGGATCAGTCATCCCTGACAGCGCTGTCATGGAGAGCCTTAATTAGCCGGGATTACTTCCTCACTTAATGAAGCATGCGCCGCTTCGTCTCGGACCGAGAGCTGCCCCCCCCCCCTCCTCATACAGGAGACTTCTCATGGAGGCTCTGCTGTCCCTCCTCCTGGTCCACCTGGGCGTGTGTTCAGCTCCCCCTGAACATCGTGTCTGAGCGGACATCAGCGCCACTCTCAGAGTCTCTGAGGCCTCGTCCAGACGGAGACAAAACCACCTCCGTTTAGTTCTGAAGAAGTCAAGACGGAATCTGTTCAGGAAATATCGGCATAATCACGAAAACGACTGAGAACGATGTAACACATACGCCAAGCCAGTAAGTGGCGCTGTAACGCTGCCCCGGAAACACATCAAAAGGCAGAAGAAGAGTCTGGAGCACGGGCAGAAAGAGTGTTTTGGCCCGACCCCCACACGCCGTTGATTCTGTGTGGATAAAACGCCGATACAACAAAAAATCGTCTTAAAATGGCGTGAACAGACGCTTCTGATGAAAGTGACGCAGGAGGTCGAAAATCTTTACAGTGAAACATTAACGACAGTTTAATAAAAACGACTTTCTCACCTGTAAAAACTCGCAGTTCTCCTTCTTCGACTCGTGGTCATGTGACCTTCTGATTCTAGTATTCGCCATATTTCAGAACATCAGCGTGTTACGAGAGTTAACAGGAACGGGTCGGTCCGCTGAGGTCGGACTCACCGACGACCACCTGCTGTGTCTCAGTGACCCGGGTCAGTCAGGTCCTCCTGTGATTGGCTGATCTCCATCACATGACACAAGAGTCAGAGATGGGACAACAGAGGGACGGTCATGTGACCAGACTCTGGTGATAAGACGGCGTAGACGTCACAGTCAGTCCGTTTCCATGACACTCGAGAAAACCGAATTATCGCCTTATTCCGATAAAGACCGGACAACTGAAGGTCATGTAAACATCTTAGTCCGACTATAATCTGAGTTTAAGAACTCTGATTAAAACACCCAGATAATGAGATTGGAATTAGATTTTCTCTACCATGTAACCAGCGTAGTCGGAGTATGAAGCCACGCCCCCGTAACCCCGTAACAAACCCCCAGAGTAGAGGAGTAGCGTTGGTCTCCTCTTTAGAAAAAGTAGCGCGTCCATCATGTCGGACAAAAACAACGCTGTACGATGCTCCATCTTCTTGTTTCTCCAGCAGCAGTTGTAGACACTTCTGACGTCTGACACCGACCTGCTGTTGTTGTTGACGGTTGGATGGGGTCGGAAACAGCGCCGCTGAAAAGACCCATATCGCCCCCTAGTGTTGGGGAGGAGGACACGTTCACGTCAAGGAGAGAATTAGGAGGTTAGTCTGATTAAACTGTGACTGTAAACGGACTGACAGTCGCCCGGCGTTTGGGTGGAGGACACTCCAACCAAGAACCATGATGGTGACGACCTGCTGAGACCAGGTTTGGGTCTCAGTGTAACTGTCCGACTTAAGTCTCAGAGACGGTCAAACAGAAACATGAGCTGGTTATTGATCATGATCAATGATCGTTTTTACTCTGATCCTTCAGACTTTAAAATCATAAAAGGAGGAACCATCTCAGACTGTTGGAGGACCGCTGCATGATGGGAGACTTGAGTGTGACCGTGAGGAAAGGGTGAGGACGGGGAGCAGCTGAGAGTGAGGATGGAGAGGGCTGACTAATAAAGCAGTGAGAGGATGAAGGAAGGAGGAGGAGGAGGAGAAGGAGAAGGAGAGAAGTGAAGGAGAGGTACAGGCTCCAAGGAGCAAGGAGAGCAATTTACCGCCACAGCGCACACAATGTCCCCTCCATGCCTGTGGGCCATGTGAAGACTGCTCCTTCAATTACACTTCACACCGGACGGGGGGGGGAGAGAAAGAGAGGGAGAGAGAGAGGGAGAGAGAGAGAGAGAGAGAGAGAGAGAGAGAGAGAGAGAGAGAGAGAGACGACAGAGTCTCCCCCGTCACTAACCCCCCCCCGACTTTGTCTCCTGACAGTGAGGTCGGATAAATCCGATCGTATCACAGATATGTTCGTACTTGTTTCGTACTTTTTTAATTGTCCCGCCCCCTGACAGAGACCCCTGCTGGTGGTGTGAGGTACGACAGGTCTGTGACCGAAATCAAAGGTTAATGAAAAGTTGAAGTTTGAGAAGCTGGGGGGTTGAGAGATGGTTGATATGTGACAGAGGAGATTGATGTTTGAGCTTCTTTATCTCACACTAAACCAGGTAGTTTTTTATTATGGCCTGAAGCTAAAATGGAGGAAAACAATCTATCAGTTATTTTAGTTTCAGCTTTTAAGGCGGATCTGAAACTCGCTGACAGAAGATCTGATCAGATCTGAGAAGGTTTGGGAGGAAATTAGACGAAAATCTGAACTCCAGCGTGAGACGTGATGTTTGGAGTTCAACTTTTGTTTAGGAGGAAAACTTTTTACTTTAACGAGGTTCCTGTACCAGAGGGCAGGGGGCGCTCTATAACTGTACTTAAAGGAGCAGTCCACTCATTTCTATCCCAGCTCCATCAGAGTTCACGTTAGCCGGTACCTGTCTGTCACATGTAGACCACCAAAACATCTGACAGGAACTGGTCAGGGATCATCAACCAGCTCAGCAGGCCTCATGGGAAAAAAGGGGGAGTGGTCTCAGGTTTGGGGTCTTCCATGCTAGCATATGTTAGCGTTATTGGTGGGTGAAGTGAAGTCGGCTTTCTGACTTTTCGGCTTTCCCTCGAATGCACCACGACTCCTTCACTGATCGTTCACAGCAGAGGAGAAGAAAACACCATCAAAGTCCAAAACCAGGTTCAGACACGACAAAGACCACGTGGTCTTTGAACGTGGCATGGTTGTTGGTGCCAGAAGGGCTGGTCTGAGTATTTCAGAAACTGCTGATCTACTGGGATTTTCACGCACAACCATCTCTAGGGTTTACAGAGAATGGTCCGAAAAAGAAATAATATCCAGTGAGCGGCAGTTCTGTGGGCGGAAATGCCTTGTTGATGCCAGAGGTCAGAGGAGAATGGCCAGACTGGTTCGAGCTGATAGAAAGGCAACAGTGACTCAAATAACCACCCGTTACAACCAAGGTAGGCAGAAGAGCATCTCTGAACGCACAGTACGTCGAACTTTGAGGCAGATGTGCTACAGCAGCAGAAGACCACGCCGGGTGCCACTCCTTTCAGCTAAGAACAGGAAACTGAGGCTACAATTTGCACAAGCTCATCGAAATTGGACAATAGAAGATTGGAAAAACGTTGCCTGGTCTGATGAGTCTCGATTTCTGCTGCGACATTCGGATGGTAGGGTCAGAATTTGGCGTCAACAACATGAAAGCATGGATCCATCCTGCCTTGTATCAACGGTTCAGGCTGGTGGTGGTGGTGTCATGGTGTGGGGAATATTTTCTTGGCACTCTTTGGGCCCCTTGGTACCAATTGAGCATCGTTGCAACGCCACAGCCTACCTGAGTATTGTTGCTGACCATGTCCATCCCTTTATGACCACAATGTACCCAACTTCTGATGGCTACTTTCAGCAGGATAATGCGCCATGTCATAAAGCTGGAATCATCTCAGACTGGTTTCTTGAACATGACAATGAGTTCACTGTACTCAAATGGCCTCCACAGTCACCAGATCTCAATCCAATAGAGCATATTTGGGATTTGGTGGAACGGGAGATTCGCATCATGGATGTGCAGCCGACAAATCTGCGGCAACTGTGTGATGCCATCATGTCAATATGGACCAAGCTCTCTGAGGAATGCTTCCAGCACCTTGTTGAATCTATGCCACGAAGAATTGAGGCAGTTCTGAAGGCAAAAGGGGGTCCAACCCGTTACTAGCATGGTGTACCTAATAAAGTGGCCGGTGAGTGTATATGATAATGATTATGATCATGTCTGATCTGAGATTTCTGTGTGAGAGAGAAAACCTCTGAGCCCTAAAGCTTTACCCAAAAATCTGCGAACTGCTCCTTTAAAACCGTTTTTTTTTACCTCACTGATGGAAATATAGACATACATGTTCCTAGATGCTGCTGCAGGATCATCCACAGGGGCGTGAAAAGGCTGCAGGGACGAAGATGGGGGCTCCTGATTGGACAGGACATCAGGCTCACAGAGACCTCCAGCAGGCTGCTGTCAGCTGACCTGATGAAGTGATAGAGAGAGCGCCGCCTCACAGCGACCACGGCGAACAAATATGAAGCCGGCAGAGTGGCTGAGCGAGGGTGACAGGAGGGCATGTTCTAATACACGCCACACTCAAGATGGAGGCACAACCTCCCCCTTCCTCCCCCAGCTCCCCCCTCAATACGTCTCCACTCAAACATGCCCACCAGGCATGAACCGGCCAATGAGGAGGAGGCGGGGGCGCTGGAGGGAGTGAGGGATGGAGGTGGAGGTTTGGGAGTGTCTGGGGCGGGAGGCGGAGGGCTGGGGGGGTGTCTGTATCAATCCGTCACAGGCTGACAGCTGACTCCTGTGCCCGCCATGGCCACGGGCAACTGACCAGAACCAGGCCAGAGCAGGCCAGCTGTGTGTGTGTCCATGTGTGTGTGTGTGTGTGTCCGTGTGTGTGTGTGTGTCCGTGTGTGTTTTCAATCCCAGCAGCCCGCCATCATAACCACACAAAAATACGCTTTCTTCCGTCATCTTCCATCCAACGGTTTCCATATTGTTTCTCGCCGTCATCCTTCCTCCCTCTCTCGCCCTGCCTCCCTCTCTCACCCTGCCTCCCTCTCTCACCCTGCCTCCTCCTAACCCTGCCCCCACCCCGGCCTGTCCCTGACATCTTACAAGTCAATCAATCAGTTTTGGCGAGCTGGCATGAGAGCGCTGCATTTATCGTGAGCTGCACGCCCTGCCTGTCATACCTGCTGAAGTCTTTTTATTTAAAGTGACCTTCAGACCGATCTCCGCCCCCCTCCCCTCTGCAGAACCTCAGGTATGTGCATCAACATGAGCGTCCTCACAGACACAGAAACATCTGCTGTCTTTCAGTTCCACCTTCAGCCGCTCCTACCTGGACTCTCCGTCTGAAAACAACAACACTGCTGCACCTGACTGTGTGTGTGTGTGTGTGTGTGTGTGTGTGTGTGTGTGTGCAGCAGGTTTGTAAAAACGCCCTCTGCATTTACAATAGGGTTGGGCGAAAAAACGATAAGAACAACGATACAACTGCAGCGTCGTAGCAGACAGCAGCTCCACCCAACCATAGCACTTTAACAGGTGAAGCCGACAGCACTGTTGGTGAGAAACAAAGAAAATGAGTGCTACCCCCGACAGAAATGACCATGAAGGCTCAACGCAAAAGGTTACAAACCCCGAGAGGAGCGAGGAGCCCATGGCGCCTGAAACAGACGACCATTCAGTCGGCTTTCTCTAGAGCGACGCCTTACGACAAAACGCCAAAGAGACACAAAGACCTCACAGATGCAGGAGATTATTGTGTTGGAAAAGACATGAGACCAAGAAACACTGTTAGATTTTTAGATCCTGATATTGATCGATATCAGCTGATAGGAAATAAATATATCCTGATAAACTTTTTCACGTATCGCCCGGCCGTAATTTACAGCATGAAGATCTTCACAAGTAAAGACTTTGTGTGAAACTGTGGAAATGATCTTATGTTCTTTATGGATGCTTCATTAACACTTATATATATATATATTTAACACATGTATATATATATATAAACGTGTGTGTGTGATCTAGTGTCCATGTTGGTTTTTTAAGGTTCTGAAGTCACTGAGATCTTTTCGGTCTGTCGTCCGTCTCCTCTCTCTCTCTCTCTCTCTCTCTCTCTCTCTCTCTCTCTCTCTCTCTCTCTCTCTCTCTCTCTCTCTCTCTCTCTCTCTCTCTCTCTCTCTCTCTCTCTCTCTCTCTCTCTCTCTCTCTCTCTCTCTCTCTCTCTCTCTCTCTCTCCCTCTCTCTCTCTCTCTCTCTCTCTCTCTCTCTCTTTCAGATTCTTGTGCTCCACATGTTTCAGTGTTTATTACACACACTCGCTCCAACTTCACACACACACACACACAGATCTGAGGAGGGCCCTGTGCTTTAACCCCCCCCACAACCCCATTCTTCCACAAACCCCCTCCCGCCCCCCGCCCTCCCGCCCCCCCACCCCTCCGGCTCCTGACAGTAGCTCAGCAGGAGAGCACAGCCCTGATGGATGCCACAGATGGGCCTTTCCCTCGGAGCTCGCAGCCTGGGCTCAGTGTGAGCTCGGCGGGGTCAGAAGCCAGGCCGGCCCCTGAGATGCATGTTGTAACAGGAAACAAAAGAAGGGCCCCCGTCCCCACCAACAGCCTCAGCGCGGCCTTTAAGCCCCCCCTACCACCCCCAGAAAACAGGGTGAAAGCTGTGGAGATGTGGAGGGTGGGCGAGTCAGAGGGGAGGGTTAAAGGGGGGGGGGGGCAGCAGCACTTAAAAACAAGGAGCTGTGATGGGACACTCTGGGGCTCTCTGCTCTTTGTCTTTCTGCTCTTTGTCCACATTGATGTGTGTGTCTGTGTGTGTGTGTGTGTGTGTGTGTGTGTGTGTGAAGTGGAGTTGTTGTTGTTTTGTTCGAGGTCCACCCATGTCCCCATGTCCCCCCCAAAGACCTCCATCAGCTCTCTGAGAGTCAGCTCCTCCAGGTCTGAAGCTGAAGGTATCTCCACCAGCATCTCTGCTGTCAGCCTGGACTGTCGGACCTCCACCCACTGGGTGGGACCAAAAACAGCGGAGACTCCAGATTCCTCCATCAGCTGATACACCCAGGTGGATGAGGAGGTGGGTCACACAACATGAGGGTCCATGGAAATGAGAAAAACCTCCATATGATATATTACACGGCATGTTGTCCTCAGTGTGGATCAATAATATCTGATCATTTCAGATCAATGTCCGATTAATAAAGAGGATCAGAAGACAGAGACACACTGAACCAGATTATTGCTGATGTTTCTAGAAGATGTTGGCGGTTCCTCCTGACCTTCTTCTTCTGACAGTTTTAGAAACAATCACAGACCAGAGCGATCAGGACTGGGCGATAAACCGATAACGATATAAATCAATAATCAATTTTCCTCAAAATCAATATAAAACTGATATGCTCTTTGATAGTCGGCATTCTGACATGTTTTGATTGACTATATGAATAGCCAAAGAAAAGGGGAGTTTCTCCGGGTCTGAACCAATCATGGTTCATATATACATATATATATATACATATATATATATATATATATATACATATATATGTGTATATATATATATATATATACATATATATACATATATATACACACACATATATATGTGTATATATATGTACACATATATATATATACAGTATATATATATACATATATATATATTATCCAGGTCCCCTTTAGACTCTCATGTTTCGAGGTTTTGAAAAGGTCCACCTTCACGACCACGAGGGTTTCCTCCTGGTGATACAGAACCGCTGACAGTGCACCATGTGTGCGCACGCTTAGATTTGGTGTGTAAGTGTAACTGAAGCGTTTGTGCGTCCTGTTGTGTAGTTAGGAGCTGCATGAGTTTAAGAGCGCTCTGTGAACAAATCTACAACATGAAGGATGCTTCAAACAGAAACAGGCACATAGAGACAGTATATAAATAGACCTCCCACCTCGTCTTCTGTCAGTGTGTGTGTGTGTGTGTGTGTGTGTGTGTGTGTGTGTGTGTGTGTGTGTGTGTGTGTGTGTGTGCATTAAGTCAGACTAAGCTGATCCTAGTTAGATTCCAGCCTGTTGGAGCTGAGAGGGCTGCTCAGCCTCTGGCTATCCACTAAATTAAAGGCCTAATGCACAATCCTCGGTGCAGACTGACAAACTAATGAAATGGAGAAGTAGGAGCCCCCGGGAGGATTGGGCGGCAGATGAAGACGCCTCCAATGAGGGATTCAACCCAGGAGCAACCTCCACACCTTGTCTTTTCCCTCCACGCCTCACTATCTCTCTCTCTCTCTCTGTTTCTCGCTCGCTCTGTCCATTATTCTCCTCCTATCACACTCTTCCTGCAGCTCTGCACAAACCCAAGAGTGTAAACAGCAGGTCTGAGTGCAGGAGAGCTGCACTTCACTCCGCCTGTGTGTGTGTGTGTGTGTGTGCGTGCGCGCTCACACACAGAGATGGAGAGGTGTGGCAGGTTTTTTTGGCAGCCTCTGTTTGTCGCCCCTGAACATGGCGGTCCCAGCAGAGCGGCGAGCAGACTTAACCCACTAACCTTGAAAGAGGTGCTTTGTCTATAAATAACTGGCACCAATTAAAGCTGTTTTTCTGAGTCCTCCCCACCGAGACCCGAACCTCCCGCTCCCCGACCACCGGTCTCTGGAGCCACACGGAGCAGGAGCCACAACCCTGCTAATTAGAGGGACTATCATTCACCTGGCCCTGTCGTCACACACAAACACACACAAACACAAACACACACACAACTACATGATGCATAAGTCTTATAAATGCCAAGATCTGATGATGATGATGATGATGATGATGACGACACCTTCAGCCGAGGATTAGCCCTGAGGAGACGACGGCGAACTTCGGTCCATGCCCACTCCTTCGACACGCCGGTTTTATCAGAAGTGCCGTCAACAGGAGGGCGAACATCAGAAGAGGATGCGTCACGACCCTGCAGAGCTGTTGGCAGAGAGGACAGGGAGGTGAGGGGGGGGAGGAGGGCTGAGTTACACTTTAATTGCCGTCGCTATTAATTAGAAGTGGGAGAAATCTGTTGCGGTTAGGGTCTCTTCCTCCCCCCACCCCCCGGCTCTGTCGTCCTTATGAAGATATCTGTTAACATCTTAATTGCCGCCCGGTCGGCTGTTTTCTGTGGTGGGAGGGAAACTCAGTTAAACCGTCTGAGATCCAGTCAGACCGGCTGGGTGACTGTTTAGCTCCTCAGACTCTCAGGTGTTGCTGGAGCCAACCTCAGGAAAACTTCCTCCACTCACTGATCACATGATCAGAGAGGCCCAATGAGCAGAAGACTGAAGCACGACTGAGGGAGGAGCAGAGAGAGGAGCAGAGAGAGGAGCAGAGAGAGGAGCAGAGGGAGGAGCAGAGAGAGGAGCAGAGGGAGGAGCAGAGAGAGGAGCAGAGAGAGGAGCAGAGAGAGGAGCAGAGGGAGGAGCAGCCGCAGAGACTCTGATCTGAAAATATTACAGAACATTTAAAATAATATCAGAGGACAAACGAAGATCTGCAGGTGAAACACCTCAGGGGTCAGAAATCCTCGTTAGGACGTGTCTGCTCAGCTGATCGGACTGTAACTGACCTCAGACATCTCCACCAGGAAGGACGACCACTGAACCAATACTGTCTGAAGACTAACGCCGAATTTTCACCGCATCCGGAACAGCAGATTCACGTTCAATCACACGACAACGAGTCGTCTCTATAAAGACAGACACATAGACATATAAGCAGTAGATTGTGTCCTTCCAGAGGAGGAAATCTACTTCTAGACTTCTAGAATCAGCATCTCCTCATCCATGGTGTCATCGGGGTGAAATGACGTCTAAAAACCTTTCACTTGTTCGTCTCCGCCCGTTTTGAAAGAAGTCGGTGTAAATCGACACGTTAACTTGAATGGTTACGATCAGCTACGATCGGAGGATACGACCTTTTAGGAGACGATCAGGATGAAGGTGGAGGTCGGGGGTTAGACTGTGATCCTCTGACTCAGACTGTATTTGTTTTGCCCTTCAGTCTCGTCTAAAATGGGAGGGGCCAAAATAAAAAAAAACACAGATTATAATAATAAGATTCATTCTATAAAGAGAGAAAAATAAAATTATATATAATCAAAGTTTATGAGACAGATTCACTCTAAATGAAAACCACAGGTCCCTCTCAGCTGTTCCTGTTATAACGGTAATTCAGTTTATGAGATTCTGGACCGACTAACTGACCCTCAGAGGGGGGCGGGGCCTGTTAGGGTCCACATCTGAAGATCCAGTCTACGGTCAGGATCCTCGGAGTTCTGGCGGCGCCTCCTTCACGCCTCCTCGGTGTGTCTGTCAGTGTCATGGCTGTGAAATCGCTCAGTCAGATGTTGATGATGAAGTGGGTCTAACCTAATGAATTCTATCTCGCTCATAAGTGGTTGACCCGCGGTGGATCAGAGGTTAACGCCGCCTCACCCCTCAGACAGCTCCCATTAGCAAATATACTGAGCGTTAACAATCGCCGTGTGTGTGTGTGTTAGTATTTGTGTGTGTGTTAGTATGTGTGTGTGTGTGTGTGTGTGTTAGTATTTGTGTGTGTTAGTATTTGTCTGTCACACACAGACGGACCAGCGCCGGGGCTGTCACTCAAACCCGTCCGTCCGTCCGTCCGTCTGTCAGACCCACTAACAGGCCTGCAGTCATCGGTGTGTCGTGCTAAATGGCATTTTTACACATTCATGCATCTGATTAAACTGGGGGGGGGGCATGCACCACACCCCAAAACACACACTGTAAACACACACTGTAAACACACACTTACACACACTCTTAACAGTTTCACACACACACACACACACACACACGTGCACACTAATAACCCCCCCTCTGACATTTGCAGTAACATTATTACAGGCCTCATTTGGAGCTCAGAGGCCCGGGGCGGGACAACGCTCCGTTCATCAGGTAGGCCGGACCACTTCAGACCGCAGGGTCAGGTAGGGTAGGGGGGCGTAAAGCTAAGGGGGGGTGGGGGGGTGTCAGAGCCTCTGGGTTTGACATTCACAGCACAACAGACAGCAGAGATGGATGCTGGGTAACATTCCATCCATGCACGCATGACAGAGCCCCTCCCTGCTGCACACGCCGCCGCCACCGCCGCGTTCAATCCCACATGTGACCTTTGAAGAAAACAAGGGTCAACTTCAGGGCTGTTTCTGTTCCTGCAGAGCTCCTCGCTCTGAAGGCAGAGGTGGTCGTTGACTCTGGTTTAGGGCGAAACAGGAAAGAGTTTATTATGATATAATTTTCATATCAGCTGATATCGATCAATATCATATAAAAATGAAATGTCACTGTGTTTATTGATCGCATGTCTTTTGTAATACAATAAGTTACCGTATTTTTCGCACTCTAAGGCGCAGCATCAATAAACGCGTCTATTTTCACAGATAAGGCACACCGGATTATAAGGAACATGAAGCCAAAATTAACAGTCAGAAAACTCAAACTTTATTTAACTCAATAACTCGGCGAGGCTACGCTAGCTGCTGCGCTAAAAACACGTTCCTGCATCGGTGAGGTCTGTGTGTCTCTCTGACGTTACAGCGTTACAGCCGAGCGTCTGTTAGACAGTCCACGGTGTTTCAGTGTTTCCAGGTAAATACCGTTCAGTTTTGTTGTTTTACGGTGAGTTCTCATTTGTCCTACGCTCATGAACGCACCATAGGTGTTCTGCTGTGATCGTGTTTGTGGGGCGCTCTGGATCAGGTCCAAACCTGAACAGGATCTAAATAGATAAAGTTAATGGATCAGCATCAGGGTAATCAGAACCTCTGTGTGGCTCCCTGTCTTTACCCTGTTAGGGTCAGAGGGCATAGAGTGTGTCTGTGTGTGTGTGTGTGTGTGTGTGAGAGAGTGTGTGTGTGTGTGTGTGTGTGTGTGTGTCTGTGTGTGTGTGTGTTACTTTTCGTGTAGATACATTCCATTTGACTCCCTTTGCACATTTCCTCCATGTTTGTGTGTATACAAATGTGTCTGTGTGTGTGTGTGTGTGTGTGTGTGTGTGTGTGTGTGTGTGTGTGTGTGTGTGTGTGTGTGTGTGTGTGTGTGTGTGTGTGTGTGTGCAGGTTAGATGGGGCTCACAGGGTCAGGAGATGCTGCAGGGCTCTGCTGACGGCTGCAGGAAACCAATCAACCTTGTCTGTGTATTCCCCGACCCGTCGTTTTCTTAATGACCCGCCCTGACAGGTCCACTGCAGCCACGGCCAACACACACACACACACACACACACACACACACCGCTCAATGGACGACCGGCCCCCATCAGCAACATGCTAATGACCCAAAGAGGGGGAGAAAGAGGGGGAGAGACAGGAGTGCTGGGATGAGGAATGGATCCAGGTGGGAGAAAAGAACGAGTGAAAACAGAGAGAGGTGAAACCGCCGACATTTTACCACAACTGAGGCGATCAGAGACGAGCTAACAGGAAGAGCTAACAGGGATGAGCTAACAGGAAGAGCTAACAGGGATGAGCTAACAGGGATGAGCTAACAGGAAGAGCTAACAGGAAGAGCTAACAGGGATGAGCTAACAGGAAGAGCTAACAGGATCAGCTAACAGGGATGAGCTAACGGTGAAGAGCTAACAGGAAGAGCTAACAGGAATCAGCTAACAGGGATGAGCTAACGGTGAAGAGCTAACAGGAAGAGCTAACAGGAATCAGCTAACAGGGATGAGTTAACAGGAAGAGCTAACAGGAATCAGCTAACAGGAATCAGCTAACAGGGATGAGCTAACAGGAAGAGCTAACAGGGATGAGCTAACAGGGATGAGCTAACAGGGATGAGCTAACAGGGATGAGCTAACGGTGAAGAGCTCATAAGAACAGGTAACAGGATAAAGAGAGCTCACAAGAAGATCTTCCAGTCAGAATCACTGGTTTGACTGGGACTGTCAGGACTTCTTGGAGCAGGTTTTAAAATATGAGAATAAAATCACAGATCTGAGCTCTGGTGTATCTACAGCTGTTTACTGTAGTTACTGTAATGATTACCGGTAAAATAATAAACAGCAGTAAAATGTCTGACGGTTAGAACTACCGGTTACATCTTTAATTCCTGTTAAAACCGTGTTCGATTGTCGCTCTCTGGAAAAGCTCACAGTGATTCTGCTCAGAGCTGAGAAGAGCCGCCGCCGAAACAGTCCCTCAGACACAGGCGCGTCGCACACATGCGCACAAGTATGCGCACAAGTATACAACTTGTTAACATGGTGGAGGGCAGGTCTGCCGACCATGTTGTAGAGATTTTTCCGCCGTCAAAGAAAACAAAGTCCGAAGTCTGAGCGTATTTCAGTTCCTACAAAGACACAGAAGAGACACTGATGAAGGACGGACGACCAGTTTGTGGAAAATGCCCCGAAAAAATCTCAGCGAAGGGTGGAAACACTTCAGACATGATGTCCCATCTACGTGACAACCACCCAGACTGTACAGCCAGTTAAAGGAGCTACACCTGAACTACACCTGAACTACACCTTAGTTAACAGGTGGCTGTTCTGTTTCATACAGTCGTGTTGTTCTGGTTTATATTTGTAAGAGTCGATCTTTTTGAAGATTCTTATAATTTGCACAAAAATGAATGTCATTTTATTTAAACTTTATTTGTTTTTATGTTCGTGTTTCTGTCACTGACACGTGACTTTGTCTTTTGTTATTTCTAGTGTTGATGACCTCTGACTCTTTTAAGGCTCATCTTTAATATTTTAAGTTTATCGTTCCTGTTATTAAAGGTGAAGAAAAAGTTCATTCTGCGTTTTATTTTGATGGTTCTTTCAAAATAAAACTCTGTTAAATGATTTCAGGGCGTGTAGAAGGACTTTTTAAACATTTTGAACAGATTTCAAAGATACTGTGATAATTTTAGTCACAATAATCCTGATGTGAAACGTTCATATCCTTACATCCCTGATCTGTTGACTGTGTGGGTCAGATGTTACCATGGAGACATATTAGACAGACTGTTTGAATAGAGGGATAAATGTCTGTTCTTCATCCATTAAAGCAGACTTGGTAGGAACAGAATAAAACATTCATCATGTTTTTCTAAATCAGAGTAAAATCACTGAAAATAAAATCCACTTGGTCTCCTGAGAACAAGTCCTTCTTGGTTCCCTGAAGTTCTGGTCCTGGACTAACTGGGCACGTCTTCCCCAGAAAGATGAACTGAACATTTTCCTCGACGTCTGAGCTGTACGTCATAAAAATAAACACCAGCGCAGTTTCTTCTCCTTCACTCCTCCTGTCATCTCCATGAGGTCAGGATCATGCAGCAGCAGCAGCAGGTAACACACAGACGTGTCCATCACTTCACAGAGGAGAAGGTCAATTACTTTGCTTTTACTTACAGTCATGCTCACCGTGCTTTAATTAATGTCTCTCTTTATGTTGCTAAGATGACAGTAATGTCCATTAGCATCAAAACATGGAGCGTCTGCACAGAACCACCTCCTCCACGTCCTCCTTCACTCACTCCCATCAGAAAACCTACAAATAGAACAAAGAGAAGCTGCAGCAGGTCAACCTGTCACACTCTCACTGGAGATGTAATTATAAAAAAGTCCTCATCCTGACACCCAACACTGGCCCTGAGTCTAAAAGGAGGACCGTAGAATCCAAGGACAGAGCTTTTACATCTTATGAAACCATCTTCTCCTCCTCCTCCCGTTAAATCAGCATCTATCTGAATCAGATCTCTGCTGCACACAGACGTTCAGATGGTTTTACATGTCAGCCTGATCTCTGACCGGTTTTTCCTCATGTGAGGGGTACATGACGGGTTTCTATCACCAGGAGAAAAACGGCCAACACATCCTCACAAAGCCTGGATATCAACAAGTGTTTGTGTTTCATTCAGCAGGAGGAAAAAGGAGAAGACGGCAGAGTCAACAACAAACAGCTGTTTTTGTCAGACGTGGATTTATCTTCATTTTTGGTCTGAGAGCAGCTGCCTCTGTTAAAGGTGTTGTAGTCAGGATCTGAGTTAGTTCCAGTTTTTAGGAGAAATCTTGAACGTAAACTCTACCCCTCCCAACCAGTTTTCCCCTCAGCTCCTCCTCTTAAGCCCCGCCCACAAACAGACGCTCCTGCTCGCTCGTATCGATCCAGTTAAATTCAGATATAATGCAGATAAATACTTCAGATCATTACAAATGGGGCCCAGTCAAGGTGAAAGTCAAAAGCATTGGTGCGACTGTAGATGCCAACAGACTACCAGCAAACACAATGTTTGCAGGACTTCTACAACGAGGATAAAGTGACATAGTCCAGGACCCGAGGGAGGACGGTTTAGCGATGGTGCTACAACACGCTACAGCAGGTCCGTTTGACAAGAAACACTTCTGTTACAGACACTTGTCTTACTTTGTTAAAGCGGTTTACCTGTCCAGCAGAAAGGTTACAGGGTCACCAAGATCCCCAAGCGTCCCCCATCGTTTATGTTGACCCGGCTTTTTAGCTCTTGTCCGGTCTACCTCCGTTTTAAGCGCCCGTTATTCCTCCAGAGTCTCCGGTATTTACTTTGTTTTCTTGCTTGTGTCGGCAGTCGTGGCCAAAGGAGGATTCAGACAATTTTCCGAACTTTCTGGTTGGTTTCTACTGTCCGATATTGTAGCACGCTAACTTCGTTTGGGCTCCTGAACGACACGGGGGAGCAGCGTCTGCCTCACAACCAATCAGGTTAGAGGAGGTGGAGAACGGCTTTGTTTACAGTCAGAAAGAGCGGACCGCTCAAAAATGTTCAGATGTTGATGACACAGACATAAGAGAACACAGAGATATCGATATATTACCAAATAATCAATAACTAATAACTATTGACTGATATTTGAAGATTCTTCTTTAACAGACTCCTGTCTAACCCCTCCTTTAAGTTGAACGGTGAATCAACAGGCCTCCAAACTCCACCCCCACCTCGACCCGTCCACACTGCTGTTCCTCCCTCCGTTCTCCCCCCACTCTGCTGCGGGCTGCCGTCTGATCATTAAGGTCATCGACCTGAAATCTGATCGCAGTCAGTGAGCTCACCAAATGAGCCACCTAATATCTGAATCCTGCTGCAAGCCCAGCCTCTCAATGATGCTGTGTACATTAACCACATTAACACACACACACACACACAGAAACCTTATCTATCACTGAACACTGAGATTTCTCCTCCTGTTGTACCAGACTCAGCTGTGCTGCAATTCATCATCTTTTATTTAGAAGATGTACCGAGACCCGCGACGCTGCGAGGATGAAATGTGTCTGTAGAATAAATTGTGAATATTCTGTTTTCTCTGTATTTCAATCCCTGCTGTCATTATGATGCTGCCAGAATCCCCTGGCAGGCGCGAGGAGGTTTGGGACTTTTAAGCCGTTTGTTTCATCTCAGGTATTAACCCCAATTTTATACCTACGCAGAGAGATAATCATGGTTTCAAGCTGTTAGTGTTTTCTTCACACAGCAAATCTGCACACTTTTAATCCCTGGAAACTAATTAAGATTTATATAATCATCATTTTCGCCAGTTTTCGTTTAGTCACTCAGTGCGTGTGTGTGTGTGTGTGTGTGTGTGTGTGTGTGTGTGTGTGTGTGTGTGAGTATGAGTGTGTGTGTGTGTGTGTGTGTGTGTGTGTGTGTGTGTGTGTGTGTGTGTGTGTGAGGATAGGAGAAAAAAGCAGCAGAAGAAGAGAGAAGCATGTGGAAAAGCGACGCGTTGGAGTGAATGAAGGTGGAGCGTTGGACAAGGCTTTCTTTATGTGTGTGTGTGTGTGTGTGTGTGTGAGTGTGGAGGGGCTTCATGCTGCTGCAGAGCTTTGGGTGGGCACTGACTGACCAACCTCCTGAACCCCCTAACACACACACACACACACACTCACACACACACACACACACACACACTCCCCTGTCAGACCCTGGAAATACCTCACATTCCTTCCTCTTGGCTGACTGCTTCAGCTTCGCCCAGCAGAGATAACAAAGGAACAGGCGGGCGGCCCTGAAAACCAGCTCACGGTCCGACTGCTCGGCCCGGTTCAGAACTTATCGGGTCCATCCTGAGCAGAGATGTCACCGAGGGTTCAGCTAATGAGATGGTCTGAAGTGAACATCGGAGCGGCTCACCTGTGAATCTCATTTCACTGAAACTCCATCCTGCAGCAGCAGAACCGTGCTGGCCCGTCCTCAGACCCGGGCCCGGACTCAAACCTCCTGCAGCTCCAGCTCTACCGCTCTCCCCTGGGATGAGGTTTTCTCTTTCTGCCGGGCTCAGGTTGCCGGATCATGTGTCCTGGATTCCCTGGGTCTCTCTCCTCCTGTTTCACCTCCTCTTGGCTCCGGTCATCCACACTATTCACCCCTCTGCGTCTTCATCAGGCCCACAAAGAGGACCGGCTCACAGATGCACTGCTGCTCATTCAGCTCTGTGTTTGGGTCCACTGATGCACAATCAAGATCGAATCCACGATATTGCTCCAACAGGAGGCGGCAGATTGGTTTCCAGGGTCCACTTCATTAGGGTGTAAGAGGAGAGCCTCACCCCCGTCAGTCAGCTGATGCTCCAGCTGAAGTCCCTCAGAGCTGCCTGTGGACCAGGAGAAACTGGTCTGACCCAGGAGGCGCACAGAGCCGGGAAGAGTGCTCCCCAAAGAGACAGCGGGTCGAAATCAGCTGTGATTGAACCTTCGCCAACCAATGAAAACACAGTCTGTATTTACTCTGGACTCCTCGGTTCCTCCTTCCTCCAGTTTGAGGATTTGAAGCCGAAACGTTCTCAGTAATTCTGCGTTTTTTCTCCATTTCCTGAAACCAACATTGAGCAGTCGTGTTGTACGTTTTCAGTGTGAGAGTCTCTGTGATGACACTCGGCTCAAACAGCATATCCCCCGGTGATCTACTCAATCTCTGTCCTCCCATTGGCTGTATCAGGTGTCAATCATAGAAAACATGAACCCCCTAATAACTTTTAAAAATGGAGCTGTACAGAAAAAAGAGGACTTGAGCACAAACCAGTCCTTGTGAACCAAAATGATACCAGAACATAAGAAAGACAAGAATCAGAACCTGACCTTCAAAAATGTCTTCATCAGGATCCGGCCCAGTGGTCCGGTCTGACTCATTCTGGTTTTACAGATCTTCACTAACATAGATAACCAGGATCAAACCTCATGGTTACGGCTGGGCGATAAAACGATAACGATACATATCGAAAATTAATTTCCCTCAATATCGATGTAAAACATGATCAATATCCTTTTCAATAGTCGTCATTCTGACATGTTTTGGTCGACTATACGAACAGCCAATGAAAAGGGGAGTTTCTCCGGGTCTGAACCAATCATGTTCTGAATTAGAACCAAGTATCAACCAACTGCAGCAAAGTCGTAGCAGACAGCAGCTCCACCCAACCATAGCACTTTAACAGGTGAAGCCGACAGCACTGTTGGTGAGAAACAAAGAAAATGAGTGCTACCCCCGACAGAAATGACCATGAAGGCTCAACAGATGACCACATCAATGTCAACCACAACACTGGCGTTAGGAAAACGTCGGTGGTGTGGAGGTATTTTGGTTTTTGGAGGTCGGACATGAAGCAGAGTAATGTGGACTGTAAATTATGTCGAGTACATGTTCTCACAAAGTCGGGGAATACCTCAAATCTTTTTCACCACCTGAAGCAGCGCCACGCCGCAGAGCACGCGCAACGCAAAAGGTTACGAACCCCGAGAGGAGCGAGGAGCCCATGGCGCCTGAAACAGACGACCATTCAGTCGTCTTTCTCTAGAGCGACGCCTTACGACAAAACGCCAAAGAGACACAAAGACCTCACAGATGCAGGAGATGATTGTGTTGGAAAAGACATGAGACCAATAAACACTGTTAGATTTTTAGATCCTGATATTGATCCATATCAGCTGATAGGAAATAATATATCATGATAAACTTTCTCCCGTATCGCCCAGCCCTGTCATGGTCGCCTACAACAGTTTCAGAGTCCCCAGTCTGGGGGTCTGGGGGTCTGGACCTCCTTATTGAGGTTACAGGATGACTGTCTGTGAATGATCCAGTCTGAAAACCGTCCTCTGGTTTCACTGTGAGGTCACAAACACCACCGCCGTTTCTGTGTGAGTGAAGAAACGCCGTTTCCCAGCATCCTCGGTGACCTTCCAGTATCCGAGGAGACAGACAGACAGGAGGAGTCGCTCAGATTTGGGTGAATTTTGGAGGCGTGTGAAGAAATTAGGATGGAGGCTAACACGGCGTGGTGAGCCCAGCAGGAGGCTGGGTCCCCGGGGAGGGGTTTCCGATTATGGGCACACCCCAGGGCGAGACAGACAGGCAGAGCCACGCCGGGTTAACATGACGGTAACAGCAGCAGGCATCAGCCTCGCCCGCTCTCCTCGCCACGTCCTTGTGGAAATGCCAGACCTTTGGGTGTGGCGGATCGGGTTCTCTGGGACACAGTGGGTGGGTTCCTGTGGTGCTAACGTGGTCCGGCGGTAATCCCACATGGCACGGGCAAAGCCCCAGGTAGTGTTTAAGGAGAGCGGCGGCGGCAGCTCTGTGTCACGGCGAGCCGGGGCTAATGTGTCAGCTGGGTGTTTCCCCGAATCAGCCTCGGCCTATAGCGGGCGGCCCTCAACCACGACGGTCTGCTGAAGATGACATATGCTGAAGGCAGAGTGTGTGTGTGTGTGTGTGTGTGTGTGTGTGTGTGTGTGTGTGTGTGTGTGTGTGTGTGTGTGTGTGTGTGTGTGTGTGTGTGGTGGGCGCTCTCACTGATGGTGATGCAGTCCAGACATCTTTATTTAAAGCTGATGTGGTTAAGGTCGCCTCCTAAGCCGCCCTCTCCACGCCTCTGTGGTCTAAGCTGGTGTGAAGAGGTGTGCTAATCGCTCAGTCGTGTCTGCGTGCGAGCCGAGCGCCAGCTTTCCCCGCAGCCCGCCAATTTGATCACAGCTGATTAGAGACGCAACGGCTGCCCACGCGCCAAACAGGTAGATTAGTGCTGGATGGACGGACGGATGGAGGTTCGGCTGTTCGCTCTGAAGTGTTTCAGAGACCGGCTCAGAGCTTCTGGGTCCATGAGACCCGGATCTGAAATCCAGCAGCAGTCATCCTCCCTCCTCCTCTCGGAGCGGCGGCGGCGGCGGCGGCTGATGGCGCTGCCTCGGGCCTGTTGTGACTGGATGCTGCCGTCCAAGCCTGCATGTCAGTGTGAGACGGGCTCTCCCTGACCTCTCCAGCGCTGGGGGCCTCCCAGCCCTGAGGAGGGGCCCCCCTGCTCCATCACATCCCTTCCAATTACTGACATCCTGCCGCCTTTGAACACACAGGAATCATGGCGAAGAACAGCAGAGGTCAGACTGCAGATGGAGAGGGGTGGAAACAGCAGAGTCCGAGTCAGAGCGAAAGAAAGAGAAAAGGGGGGAAGAACGCTGAAAAGCTATTTGTGTCATTGATGCCTCTGTGGCCCCTCCACCTCCTCCACCTCCTCCTCCTCCTCCTCCATCCTTTTCAAGGCTCCTCACTCAACCCTAATCAGGAGCAACTGTTTCAACAACAAAGACTGAGGGGCGCTGAGAGTTAAAAATGAGCTCCTGATCAAAACAAAGAGCACCGACAGTCCCTCCCTCCCCCCGCAGAAACAGAACCGTCCGGGTCGATCCGAGAAGTGAGGACATGAAAACAGAACCGTGTAAAATACAGAACGCTCTTTACTACATGACTGATCCTGAGAGGACAGGAGGGCTGAGGGACGGACCAATCAGAGGCCGGATTCATCCATCTGTGGTCTGCTCTGAATCAGTGTTCGGCGGTCTGACGGTATAAAAGTGTAGAAATGTTGTTCTACCGTTTATACCAGAGAGAGAGAGAGAGAGAGAGAGAGAGAGAGAGAGAGAGAGAGAGAGAGAGAGAGAGAGAGAGAGAGAGAGAGAGAGAGAGAGAGAGAGAGAGAGAGAGAGAGAGAGAGAGAGAGAGAGAGAGAGAGAGAGAGAGAGAGAGAGAGAGAGAGAGAGAGAGAGAGAGAGAGAGAGAGAGAGAGAGAGAGAGAGAGAGAGAGAGAGAGAGAGAGAGAGAGAGAGAGAGAGAGAGAGAGAGAGAGAGAGAGAGAGAGAGAGAGAGAGAGAGAGAGAGAGAGAGAGAGAGAGAGAGAGAGAGAGAGAGAGAGAGAGAGAGAGAGAGAGAGAGAGAGCTGATGTCTGCGGCGTCTCTGAGTCAGTGTGGAGCCGTCTGTGCTCGCTAACAGGAAAGCTGAAGTGCGTCCGTTTGGGTGCGTTTCCGTATTTTCACCAGCGTGTCGTGCGGAGATTGTTCGCTCCGTCTGATTGGTCAGGTTTGGGTGCGCTCCCTATAATCACCAGCGTGTCCAGCAGACTGCTTGGCGTAGTTTAAACAAAGAAGAAGAAGAAACAGCTTCAGTGGTGGTGGTCATGGCGGACGCAGAGATTAGCGGGAGTACCGAACAAACGGAGGCGGCCTGATCCACCGACACGAGGAAGAGGAGGAGGAACGTGTTCGGAAAAAGGGCGTGAGTCGAGACATCGGTTTTCTGGAGATTCTATAGATTCAGAAAATCCGACAATGATCCAAAAACAAAACTATCAAAGATAAGGTGACCAGACGTCCATGATCTCCGAATTGGATGACCTGTCCCCGGCTAACGCTGTCTCCGAAAATGTCTCCGATTTAAGCGTTTCATGAATGAGAACAAAAATGTTGTGTGTGGGCTCGAACACCGGTTATTACAGTAGGTAATGACCGTTGTTCTAACCGGTTCTTCAGTGTCAGAAGGTCCGACTAAGAGTCTGAAGCTGGTGGAAGAAGAAAGGAGGAGCTCTGACTTTGTTAAACTCAGATCACTGTGGAGGAGAAGTTCTGTTGTCCAGATACTGACCTGTTGGAAGCTGATCTTCACCCACATCATGTTCTCAGGAGTTCAGGAGTTCTTCAAACAGTGGTGGCTGACGAGATCAGGCGTCAGCCGTCCTGCTGACAGCTGATTGGCTCAAACCGAGGTGAGTAACAGACGTTCAACTGTAACCTACATTCTTGTTTTCAGAATCATGAGAGACCATCAAGCTGGGACTGGTTTCATGGTACAGTCTGTGATGACTGTGTGTGTGTGTGTGTGTGTGTGTGTGTGTGTGTGTGTGTGTGTGTGTGTGTGTGTGTGTGTGTGTGTGTGTGTGTGTGCACATGTGGCTGTCCCATAACGGACGGCAAACAGGACTGGTTGGAGCGCCTGGCAAAGACCCAGTGCCCTTAAACCCAAATTAGCCTTTCCAAACCCATATCCCCCTGGCACAATGAAAAACGCCACACAACACACACACACACACACACACACACACACACACACACACACACACACACACAAAGACACAGCGATGACCTCACTTTCCCTCGCTGTGGCGAGCGATGCCAGGCCAGAAATCCCTCTAAGGCCTCCCTTTGAGTCTGTAAGCACTGTACTGCTGAGTGGTCGTACCCGGGGTCACTGCGGGGTCAGAGAGGCTGCTGACCACGATTCAAACGACCCTCTAATTCAAGGTTTAAACTTCACACGCTAACGTCACGCCGCGCTTCGACACGTAATACAACAACCAGTCCAGCTTTTGTAGTCTGGTTTAAGAAAACCGGTTCATGCTCCGCCCCCATGAAGTACATGGTGTGTGTGTGTGTGTGTGTGTGTGTGTGTGTGTGTGTGCGTGTGTGTGTGTGCGTGTGTGTGTGCGTGTGTGTGTGTGTGTGTGTGTGTGTGTGTGTGAAGTTTAAAAGGTGCTGAAAACTATGAGCCCGCTGAGCAGAGAATGAGTGATGAATTATTGAAGTGGCTCTTTGGTGTGAATGAAGTGTTGAAAATGTCCGTTTCCACGTGGCGCTCTGACGCCGCCGCCGCCGCCGCTGCTGCTGCTGCTCGCCGCTCTCAGTAGCATGTGTTAAACTGCATGTGTTAGTTCAGATGACTACTGTTCGCACAGAGAAGCATGAAGAGTGGAGTCCTTCTGTTCTGTCTCTTATTAATCTGCACTTCTCTCTTTTCTTGTCAAAACACTGCCTCTCCTTCTGTTAGCGTCTCACGTCTCCTCTCTGGATTTCGCGCTCTTCCTCCTCTTCCTCCTCTTCCTCCTCGTCCTCCAGCTTCCTCTGAATTTCCTCTCGTTACAGCTCAGCCAATGATCAGCCACTGTGATTCCAACTCTTTCAAGTCTTCCTGTTTCAAAGAGTCTTCGCCGTCGGGGAGGAGAGCGAATACGAGTCTGAACCGATGCTTTTCGACAGCGGCGGCCTCTCCTGCACGTTACAGCCCAACAGCACCATCAGAGACGGGCGGGAGAGAGCAAACGAGGAGGAGGAGGAGGAGGAGGAGGAGGACGCCTCTCACATCCACATCACACATGAAAGTCACCTCGCTCCAACCAGGAGGAATCACGGCCCTGATGGAAAGGTAACAGCCGGCCGCGGGCGCTGGCTGAGTTGCTAGGAGACAGGGAAGCAGTGCACGGTCGAAGGGATGAGCGGACGGCTGGTGTGTTCGCTCAGACGGGGCTCGATGACACGTACAGACATGCTGACAGCGTACAGCGCCATGTAAACACATCCAGGCATGATGGGAAGTATGACAGAAGAGGAGGAACCGATACGGCGAGAGGAAACAGAAAACAGGCTGAAAAAACGCTGATTTTAGCGTTTACATCAGAGACGCTGTTTACATGCTTTAACATCACCAACTGAACCTTTAACTCTCATCGTAGGCGGACTATTAACCAGTGTTAGGAACGCTGTTACTTTATTCAGTTAGTGATAATGTAACCTGTTGTTTTTTAATAAAGTAACTCAGTTTCAGCCAAACGCTGCGTCACTCTGAGGTTTAACAACGGCACACAGTTCCTGTCACCTTTTAGCGATCAATAAAGTTTAATTGAATTGGAAAAACAAAGCACTCGTCACCCTCTGGCGTCACACACATAATCAAACGTGCGCCATGAAGAGGACCGGACAGGTCAGGGTACGGCGTGATGGCGAGCGAGAAGGGGAAGATAAGTTTCTCCTTTAATTTTCAACTGGAGAGAAAAAAGAGAAAAACGACATTTCAGTGACGTGTAAACCGAGTCCTGGGTCAAAGATCGTTTCCACGGCAACAGCAACATAAAACTAGTGAAGCACCTAGAGGAGCGACACACTTCGACAAAGTTAGCAGCTAAGGTAACGCAGCATCCACGACCGAGAGTCACAGCGGCGAGGACACGCCCACTCCACCCAAACAGCAGCGGGTGGAGTTCGAGAGGCGGACCCGAAGACAGGAGCAAACTGATAAAACAACAACACGGTACGTTTAATCGTCTGTTTGGATCTTTTTCAGCGACATCAGGCTGTTAGAGTCCAACGGTAAGATTTAGGTGTTAGTGTCGAGGTTTGTGATTGGACGATTAGATTCAGTGACGTGTCACACAAACGTTTTAAACTTTAGTCTTTAGTTTTTTCAGGTCTGATCAGCTGATACTGAGGCTGAAATAAAACATGTTTTGATTTTTCGTGAGCCTTGTGAGGACCGATAATCGACCTGATTAATAATCCGTCTGTCCGTCTGTCTGTGGAGGAGCCCTTCAGGTATTCCAAGGTGAACACTAACGTGGACGGGCAGAGTCCCCGGCCTGCTGGGACGCTCGCTCAGTCCTCGCTCGGGTTTTTTATGGTTGTCAGTAATCAGACGGCTGCTCGCCTCTCTCCTTGACCCGCCGCTGAACCTGCCAGAGTTGACACGACTGCAGCAGAGGGATGCTAGACGGCAAAAAAATCAGGCAACAACGGCGGACTGTGTTCAGTCAACAGAGAGCTGCAGCTGACTCAGCCCCGCCTCCCCCCATCGGACAGGTTGGCTCCTGTTAGGACGGCGTCCCGGGACGATGATGTGGTGTGTTTCCGATGATTTAGCGGCCTCTCCATGTGGTGAGAGATGCTGGGAGGACTGGGGGGCTAACTGGCCTTATCTAAACTATTTGAAGGGGAGGACGTGGACGCCGCCGTCTCCTCCATTATATCATTCTGTAAACACAGCTCTGTGCCACAGGTTGACGGGCTGTATTTCATAAATCGGTCCAGAACAAGGCGGTCTGATTACGGCGTGCTTACATCATGGCGAGAAATCAATCTGTTTAATTGGTGGGCTTTTGTCAGAGATATTAGCTTAGGCGCTGTATGAGACCATTACAGTGAGGAGTGTAAATGAATATGCTCTCAGCCGTCCGTTCGGCTCGCTCAGCTTGTTGCGGTGATTTATTGTGCTTACTAAACATGTTTTTGCTCACTTGACCACGGCGAGGCTGACGGCGAAGAAAGGACCGGCAGAAGAAGGTGCGAGGGCGAGTGCAGCTCATCTTCAAAGTGGTTCATTTCATGATTGGAGTCCTAATGATGAAGACGGTCTCATCATCACGTGAGGCTCTGCTGTACAATGCAGCACGGTGATGGAGTCTGACGCGGGTATCTACCTGACCTCTTCTGCACAAGATCCCGTTTCCAACAAAGCACGCCGACTTTATCTTCCTCGCCGCTCTCTCTGAAGTCACGCCGACCGTTTTAGCATTCACGGCGAGCCCCGGCGCGGCACAATAACAAGTGGTCTATTCAAATTAAATCAGTAACGGCATTGTCCATATTTCAAGCAGGTCATGCATTTTTATTTATTCAAAGAATGAAGACAGGTCGCTTCCTCCAACAATTATCTCTTTTCATTGAAAGAATGAATGTGCATGTCAGGGCTTCTTTTACTCGCTTTCTTCCCAGTCTGAGCCCCCCCCTCGTCCTCGCTGCCCCCGCCATCACCGGGCGACAGTAGAGGTCGTTAGTAGAAGAGGGATGATGCCAAACTTGACTGGAGTCGAGCCTTATCTCTATTCTTTACACTCTCGCTTTTGTTTCAAGGGCTTTGTTTACACACGCCCCATTAATCACCTGCTGCCTCCCCACAAACCCGCAGCATTTAAAGTGGGCGCCGCTCGCTCGCTCTTCGCTCCTCGGGACAATGTGCAGCTCAGGTGCCAGAGTAAATCTCTGCCGCGCTCAGAAAAGGAAGATGGCCGGCCCTCTGGTCACCCTCTGCTCTCAGGTTTCTCCATTATCTCTTCTTCTTCACTCTGCCCTTGGCCTCGATCGCTATCTCGACATATCGCTGCGGCTCGGCCTCAGAGGGCGCCGATTAACAAACATCCACACCTGGGCAAGAGTCCGCCTGGCCAACCGACGCCACCTGACATCGTTTAATCCAGTCCCGACAGTCAGCTGACTGACACAGCCCTCATGACTTGACAGCCGAGCGTGAGTGTATGCAGACAGGATGCTGTTGAGCAAACATTAATCACACCGCAGGAAGCCGCAGAAGAAGATGGAGGAACCGCCCGCCGGTGACTCCGAGGACTGCCGGGTCACCCCTGGAAGGACGCTGTAAAACCCCGACGCTGACACTCCTCCATCTCCATCGCTGAGCAAAGAAAGCCACCAGGTGGTCATCCATTTTTTTTTACCTTTCCTCCTCAGGTGAGGGAAGAAGAGCTCCTCAGAATATCAATGAAGGAGCGGAGAAGGTGCAAACAGGAGGCTCCGAGACGCCGCCGTAATGAGGACCAACATGTGAAAGCCTGTGAATTATTTCTCTGCCTCTGGATGCATCTGAATATATATCGGTCTGAGAGAGAGAGAGAGAGAGTGTAGATGCAGAGCGCCTAGATGGGAGCTCACTGTGAGCGCTTTAATGCATGGCCCTGTTTAATTGCATAGTCAATGCATTCATCATTCAGAATGCAGAGCCCGGCTAAAATGAATTGAATTATCTGGCGGGGGAGAACAAAGAGATGTACATTGAGTTTGTGTGTAATTTATTGTTGCAGAGTGAGGCGGGCGAGCGAGCCAGGGAAAGAGAGAGAGAGAGAGAGAGGGAGAATTAGAGACAGGGAGGGAAGACAGAGAGAGACCTGGAGGAGGACAGGAGAGGGAGAGAAGGAGAGAGAGAGAGAAGATAGAGAGGCAGGCAGGGGGTGAGAGAGTGAGAGAAATGAGTGGGAGAGAGAGAGAGAGGAGAGATAGGGAGGCCAGGGGGAGGGGGGGGGGGCAGAGGAAGACAGGGAGGATGAGGAAGGAGAGAGATAATGGTAAAGCCTGGAGGAGGAAGAACAGGGGGGGGAGAGAGGGGGTGCTGCAGAGCCAGAGGTAGACCAGAGAGAGAGAGAGAGAGAGAGAGAGAGGAAGAGAGAGAGAGAGAGAGAGAGAGAGAGAGAGAGAGAGAGAGAGAGAGAGAGAGAGAGAGAGAGAGAGAGAGACAGACCTGACACCTTCCTGCAGATTCCTGAGGGGATAAAACACAAGAGCGGTGTGTGTGTGTGTGTGTGTGCATGTGCATGTGTGTGTGTGTGTGTGTCCGTTTGCACAAGCCTGCACAAGCCTGGAATTTGCCAACAGAGGATTCTGGGAGATTTCTCGTGTTGTTATGCATGTAAATGTTGGATGAGCAGTCCACACCTTTTGTGAGGTGAACACCTGGACGTAGACAACTCCACAGTCACCTATACTAAACACACTCACACACACGCGCGCGCGTGCACACACATGCACAGAGCCTCCATCTCTGTCTGTTGACGGTGAAGTAATTGCAGCGTATTGAAGAGAAAGCGTGAGGCGGTGAAGAGGAGCAGCAGACTGAGGAGGAAAATCTATTTCCCAATACTATCTCACTGCAGCTTTCCTCCCATGGACCTGCATTCCTGGTTCTGGCTGTGTCCCATTGATTCCTCTCCAACATCATCTGAAAATCTATGAGCATAAAGGGCAGCTCCGTAAAGTACAAAGCACATAAGTGCACATCATGTCTCCACACAGAGGAAACCCCTCACTCACTCACTCACTCTCAGCCTCTTCTTCTGCGTTTTCCTGCTCCTTATTCCCATTATTCTCATCCTCGTCTTCACACAGCAGGAGGTTCAGGAGGGATGGATCCAATCAGAGGAGGAGGAGAAAGAAAGGTGGAGGTGAATGAGAGAGGAGCAGCAGACGAGGTTGGAGGGAAAACTGTGCAGAAGTTTCCAGAATCCTGACCGTTGTGCGGTGCTTGGACACGGCACAGCTGACGGTCCTGGTGATGAAGGGTCATAATAACCACTGATGGAGGTCAGCAGCAGCAGCGTTTATTTCAGCAGGTTTCTCCCACTCAGTCTCCAAAGACCAAAAGGCCTTTTAGTCTGAGTCGTCTTCAGGGTCGAGTTTTAGTCCCTGACCATCAGCAGAAAAACCGTCAGGATGTTGGGACAGCGCTCATTTGAGTTAGGGCTGGGCAATAAAACGATAACGATGTATAACAAAAATTAATTTCCCTCAATATCGATATCAAACATGATCAATATCCTTTTCAATAGTCGTCATTCTGACATGTTTTGGTCGACTATACGAACAGCCAATGAAAAGGGGAGTTTCTCCGGGTCTGAACCAATCATGTTCTGAATTAGAACCAAGTATCAACCAACTGCAGCAAAGTCGTAGCAGACAGCAGCTCCACCCAACCATAGCACTTTAACAGGTGAAGCCGACAGCACTGTTGGTGAGAAACAAAGAAAATGAGTGCTACCCCCGACAGAAATGACCATGAAGGCTCAACAGATGACCACATCAATGTCAACCACAACACTGGCGTTAGGAAAACGTCGGTGGTGTGGAGGTATTTTGGTTTTTGGAGGTCGGACATGAAGCAGAGTAATGTGGACTGTAAATTATGTCGAGTACATGTTCTCACAAAGTCGGGGAATACCTCAAATCTTTTTCACCACCTGAAGCAGCGCCACGCCGCAGAGCACGCGCAACGCAAAAGGTTACAAACCCCGAGAGGAGCGAGGAGCCCATGGCGCCTGAAACAGACGACCATTCAGTCGGCTTTCTCTAGAGCGACGCCTTACGACAAAACGCCAAAGAGACACAAAGACCTCACAGATGCAGGAGATTATTGTGTTGGAAAAGACATGAGACCAAGAAACACTGTTAGATTTTTAGATCCTGATATTGATCCATATCAGCTGATAGGAAAATAATATATCCTGATAAACTTTTCCCCGTATCGCTCAGCTCTACATTCCAGTAACTAAACTGACCCGCTCTGTCGACGTGTTTTAGGGTCCACGCTGGCTCACAGGCCGATCACTCGGGGTTACTGAAAACAAACGGGCTGATGTTGGGGTCAGAGGTCACATACTGAGGTTGTTCTGATGCTGAGGAGCACTTTCTCCCTCCTCTTCCTGTTCGAGATGTTTTTTAATCGCGGAGATTTCTCCGGGTTTCACTTGAAAAAAAAAGAAAATCTGTTTTTCTCCCCCTCTCGTCTGTTTTCCCTGAAAGGCTGTCTCTTAAAGCAGATATACTGTGTGTGTGTGTGTGTGTGTGTGTGTGTGTGTGTGTGTGTGTGTGTGTGTGTGTGTGTGTGTGTGTGTGTGTGTGTGTGTGTGTGTTTCTTCTCCGTTAGGAAACCAAGTCTAGACCTAAGCCCTGAGAAGACGATCATGGCATCGGTACAACATTCCTTGGACGGATCTATACTGTCCTCCACACATTCAAGCAGATGGAGTCGGTGCCAAACAGCTCAGTTCTGAGACCGGGAGTAGGCTACCCGGTCCTCCTCCTCCTCCTCCTCCTCCTCCTCCTCCTAACGCCTGCCAAGGATTTAAAATTAGACTGTGAAAGGATACACATTGTACTGTATGGTTTAGAGCCGAACACAACCTCTCCATAACACGGTCTGCAGGACGATATTTCACTGTGAAGACCCTAAAGGGGGACAGGGGGACAGGTCCAAAACCCTGAGGGAGAGTGAGGAGGACTTCAGAAACCTGTTCCTCTTCAGATCTGCTGCCTAATGAAGATCATCTCAGTCAGGTGTTACACTGACACTCTAAAGACTGACTGAATGGTAATGAGCTGGACTGCTGCTGGGGGACCACCGGGACAAAGACCGGCTCCTCAGGACCCCACAAGGGTCCTTTAGTCCGTCTGTGTGGACCTGTTTGTTCTGTGAAGTCCTTCAGGAGTGTTTTAAAGACAGCAGAGGAGATGAAAAGGACACACCTGAGTGACAACAGGTCCAACTCACCTACCTGTCAGAACCTGATACAGGGACTGTGAGGGACTAAAGGCCGGCCCTGTTAGAGGACAGGAGCGAAAACCGGACGTGGAGCGAGACTCGGAGCAACAACGTCGACGTCGGTTGTGTGGCGTTGGTTCAGGTATCTCCAAAGTGACGTCGAGTAATGAAGCCGATGTGTAAAGTATGTCGGCGGTCGGTGCCTCAAAAACCGTCAACACAACAGATCTGTTTATTTAAAGACGTTCTTCCTGAGTGATTATGAGGAAAAATGTGGGCGGAGTCTGTACAGCCTGTCACTGCTGACGGTACGAGTAGCATTAGCAGTTTAGCCACAACTAGCGACGCAGACACCAGACCAAAGCAATCAATCGTCTCATCTACGTTTACGTTATCTAATGTTTACAGTTTAAGGCGTCTTCATTCTCTCTGAGGGGACATTCGTTTATTTTAGGTCTTAACTGCAGAAACACTCAGGACTGTAAACTAATTCACTTTATAATTTAATATTTATCTACATTTGTTGTTCTGTTGAGTTCAAATGGTTTTTATATTTTTCTAACTTTACATTTTTTAATTTTCTTTATTTACTTTGTATGTTAATAAAATGTTGAAATAATCTCAAGTTTCTTTAGTTTTTAGTTCAGATGCTTTAAAACTGGCAGGTAAAAATGATTTTTTTTAAAATCGTACTAATAATCGAGATCGGACGATAAAACAAAATACATCGTAATCATTTTTTTTTGCCAAGTCGCCCGGTGCTAGGTCATGGTTCCTGTCCCTGTCTGCCACCACACAACCGGTCCAGGAACAATAAACTTTACCGACATCAATTAAAGGTCCAGAGAGGAGGAGAGGAGGAGGAGGTCCAGAGAGGAGGAGAGGAGGAGGAGGTCCAGAGAGGAGGAGAGTCAGAGGAGGTCCAGCCCTCATAAAGACAGGACGGGGGTTTTGAACCAGACTGTAAACCTGTTGAACCTGCAGTAAAGTGGGTTTTTTAACATGGGTGTTAATGGAGATTCTTTGGCTTTTGTACTCAGCCCCCGGTGGACAGTAGAGGAACTGCAGTCTTTACACTGACATCAGTGTCTGGAGGTTCCTGCTGCTCTACCTCTGGAAAAATGTGAAGTTAGACATAAACCGTCCACACTGACCTTTAACCACTCATCTTACAGTGAGGTTAGGTCACACACACACACACGCACACACACACACACACACACACAGACGTCCACAGTGAACTGAACTCAGAGAGTGAATGTAGTGAACAGTTTTCCTCAGTAACAGACGGAGAGACGAGCAGCAGGACAGGTGAGATCACATTCCCCTCCGACAGGAAGCTCCTCATTTTCAGCCTGAGGTGAAAATCCGTGACTTCGACCTGACACACCAACTTCATGTCTTAACGGAGGAGAAAATCACATCTACTGTTAGCACCTGATGGTCGCTGAGAGTCAACCATCTTTACAATGACGGGATGCGTGATTTAACGAACTTTGACACACCCAACATGCCGACAAAATAACTAGCATGCCCGATAGAGCGCTTACGCTGCCTCGCCTCACACGTAGACTCGGATAAACAACTCACGACACGAGCCGAGTGCCCTGTGGTGAAGGAGCAGGCACGGAGCCACAGCTGTGTCCCACACCATCATGTTGACTACAGGCCTCGGAGACGAGCCGCCTGTGTCAGAAAAATGACAAAGCAGTGTCATATTTGGAGAGAGGGAGAGAGAGAGAGAGAGAGAGAGGGATCTGCAGAGATGTTCAAGTGACTCTAAGCTGGATGGAGAGAGGGGGAAACAGGGAGGAGAGGTCAGGAGGGGGTGGAGGAACCACTGGCCCTGTCATAAGAGTTTAGTCAGACGGAGGAGATCACTCGGTACATTTGGGTTAGCCGGGTTTAGCTCACTGCTTGTGCAACTTCCAGACACGACCATCGTGGCGATTTTCCTGAAGAAAAGCCGATGTTTTTCAGAGAGGCTTAGACAGAGGATGAATGGAGGGAGAGAAAGGGGGCCGAGGAGGATCCTGGGCCCAGAGGAGGAATGCATAGAAAGGATGAGTCCTTTCTCCGAAGATGGGGGACGGCCAGAGCCGGGGCGCAAAAAGAAGATCCTGTTTGCTGTCCCTTGATACAGTATACACACACTAAATAGTCTTTGCAGCAGATTTGAGAGACAGACCCTGGTCTTTGTTCAGCTAATAGGCAGACCACTCTAAATGGGCTGTTTTTCAACCCTCTGACACAAAGACACTTTTTCATGACTCCTCAGTGCCATCGTTTTCCTGCTCCTCTTCTTCAGACATGTGGAACAGAGCGCTCTCTGTGTCCCCATGTGGCGCTCCCACAAACTCTCTCACACCGCTCCTCTCGGCCGGCGAGCAGCGAGCAGTAAAACTACACCGCTGCTGCACAGACGCGAGCCAGGAGCCGGCGTCTACAGCCTCTCACAGGGTCCCATCGAGTGAATATGAGAGCCATTAAATGACCAAAACGCTCACTCATAATACCCAATGGCTGAAATCTAAATTTTACAGCAGCCCATAAAGTTTCTGCTCATAAAGATAAAATCGATGGTGGGAAATGATCTCCCTTTTTCAGATTTGTAGCATTTACAGAAACGTGTCTGACTGATTCATCAGCCTGTACATTTTAATGAGGTTCGCTGCCCTTTCTCAAACGGCCCGGACTTGTTGTCAGCCCGGCTCTAGACCCGGGAGTTGTTGTTACTTGACTGCTCTGAACCCTCAGGCTGTTTGGCACCTCGCAGAGGTGAGCCGAGTTCATTATCTAATAGCAATTTCCACTGGTGGCTCTCAGACTGTACTCGGCATGCAAACAGTAAACAGAGAGGAAGAGAGAGAGAGAGAGAGAGAGAGAGAGAGAGAGAGAGAGGAAGAGAGAGAGAGAGAGAGAGAGAGAGAGAGAGAGAGAGAGAGAGAGAAAGAGACCAAACCCTCACTGTGACCAGGTAACAGACTCAGTCATGGAGCCAGAAAAACCAACATGTGATCATATCAGAAAAGTCGTTGACATGTGAACCAGAACCAGACAGGAACGTTACAGTCTGCTGCTGTTTATATATATATATATATATATGTGTGTGTGTGTGTGTATATATATATATGCATACATATATATATACATACACATATATATAATATCTATTAAAGATATATGTATATATAAATATGTGTGTATAAATATATGTATATATATGTGTGTGTATATATATATGTATATGTATATATATATATATATACACACACACACATAGTATATACATATATATACTATATATATATAATATTTATTTAAGATATATGTATATATAAATATGTGTGTATAAATATATATATATATATATTTGTATATATATATATATATATATATACACATATATATATATATACATAAATATACATACATATATATACAAATATATATACACACATATACATAAATATACATACATATATATACATATATATATATAGATATATATATATATATATATATACACACATGCACAGAGCTGGCCCAAGTCGTAAGCGAACTTAGCGCCAGCTTAGCGCCAGCTTAGGGCCACGCAGCCAATAGGGGGCCTCGAAGTTTATGTGAAAAGAATAAAATTAAATTATTTTTTAATTTTTTGCATGTATGAGTGATGCTTTCTGTCTGATCAAATAAATATTACTGTAGAAATAAAATAAAATAAAAACATTTCAGAGCTGCTGCTGATGTAGGTCTATGATTCTTACTGCTGATATGTTAAAGCTCCGCCCCCGTTCTGTTCCTCCTGCTGTGAAATGGTCACTGAGCATCTAAAGAGCAGGTAGTTGTGGGACAAAAACAAAGTCACAAAAAAGGACATATCCTTCAGGAGCCGAGAGAAGAAAGAGGAAGAAGAGAAACATGCCAATATAGAGGTATGTTTGCATGTCAGGGAATGTTAATAAAGATTTGTGAAGGTGTGTGAATGATCAACAATCAATATTATTGGCAGAAATAGAGGACCCCAAAATCACATTTTGCTTAGGGTCCTATTGAGGCTCGGGCCGGCTCTGTACATATATATTTTAACAGAAACTGATTTTCTGTCAAATAAAAGGAGGAATTTAAAAAGGATCCCTGAAAGTTTCCTGACTTTGACCTCCAAAGTTAGTTAGTGCAGGTTTACTTTGTTCTTGGTAAACATGCAGACTCTGGTCTGATCTGAGGTCTGATCTGAGGTCTGTTCTGAGGTCTGTTCTGAGGTCTGTCCTCCCTCCCTCTCAGAAAAACAGAGGAGTTTCCAGGACTGATCTGAAGGAGGCTGCAGATGGATTTCCAGCGCTGCTCTTCACACTTTGCTTCCTGGACTCTTTAACCCTCCGTGTGCCGTTTTCATACGTGCAGCATCAGATGTCACATAGGCTGTCTGTAGAGCGTTTGATGGATCAATCTCTCTCCCAGCAGCCATCCCCGGGGCTTTCATCTGCTTATCTCTGACCACTGTCTGTCTGACTGACCGCCTCACTGCTCCTCTGCAGCCTGCAGCTGAAAAACAGCCTGCACACACACACACATACCAAACTCAGTGACCACGACCATTAGGCAGAGGGGGCGGGTCCAAACGTCTTCACACCCTCTCTGTGTGTGTTTGAGGAGGTATGAAGACACGTACGTAAGCATGCCCCGCTAACCCACTGCTCATTACTGTAGCTGGGCCTCCCTCAAGCCTGTTCATGTCCTGAGCCGGAGTCCTACATGTATAAGCAATTTGTCATCGCGCTGCGGAAATTGGGCGGATTCCGTGCTCCCGGGCCTGCGGGCGCACGGGCACACATCCATTATTTATGGCATCTTTATGACTTTAATCTGCACTTATCCAGCTGGAAGCCTGTTTGTTTCATCTCTAATTTGTTTCTCCAAGTTTTTTCACCACTTCGTCCTGTTCCCGGTCCTCCTCCTCCTCCTCCTCCTCAGGAGCTGGGAGCCCCTGACCTCTCAGTGTCTCACAAACACAATCTTTTCCTCCTTTATTAGCTCTCATATGGGCTTATTTACATATCCTACAGAGGCGTATTCTCACTCTGACTGCTGCTGGAGGCTTTCCCGCCCTCTCCAGAGGGTCTTTTCAGCCCCGGGGCTGCTGCAGTGATGGGATTAAGAGGAGGCCTGGAGCGTGTCCACGTCTGGAGCCGAGCAGGACCGTGCTCCGGCGACCCACCAACCTCAATGCTATTGTCCCGCCTCCCAGCGACCCGCTCCAGGTGCCAGGCAATAGAGAAGATGCTCCAGACTTTCCCAGGAATGAGCAGGACAGCTTAAAATAGTAGATTTAACAGCCCAACCTCGCCCGCCCGCCCGCCCGCCGCTCCTACCCGCCTCCTTCGCTTCCTCCACCGTCGCTGAGAAGCTGAAAGGAGAGCATCATCGGTGTGGAGGCAGAGGGGATGTCTCTCTCTCTCTTTCTTCTCTTGCTCCCTCACTCACTCTTTTAAATCTAAATTCCCCTTTTTTTCGGTGTGGGGGCCGGTGGGAGGACAGTTGTTTTGTCTCCGTCCATTGGCTGATTTACATCTCCACAGCTTCTCTATCAAAGTGGCCATTGTCAGTTCTGACCTATGAAAATTACAGAGGACACTGGGGGCCTTTCTCCTTTGACAGGCTGGCTGCACACACACACACTCACACTCACACTCACACTCACACACACACTCACACACACACATGCTAATCACAGAAAAAACACCAACAGTATAAACACACACCCACAAGATACACCCTCTGTCCGTTTTTTCAGATTTTACACAGATGCTTCGCCAACAGGCTGCGCCTCCTCTGTGCTCCTCTAAACACGACAGGAAGGAGGGATGGAGAGGGGAGAGAGGGGGGAGAGAGGGGAGAGAGGGGGAGTAGAGGAAGGAAGGGAGGAGAGAGAGGGGAGGAAGGAAGGAGGGGATGAGAGAGGAGAGGAAGGAGGAAAGGAGAAAGAAGAAAGGACGGAAGAAAGGAGAGAGAGGAAAGGAAGGAGGAAAGGAGAGAGAGGAAAGGAAGGAGGAAAGGAGAGAGAGGAAAGGAAGGAGGAAAGGAGAGAGAAGAAAGGAAGGAAGAAAGGAGAGAGAGGAAAGGAAGAAGGAAAGGAGAGAGAGAGGAAAGGGAGGAGGAAAAGAGAGAGAGGGGAAAGGAAGGAGGAAGGGAGAGAGAGGAAAGGAGGCACAGGAAGGAGGGATAGGATGGAGGGAGAGGCGGGTCATCCAGGAATAAGGGAGTCCTCCATTTGCACACCAATTGTTTTTCCTTCTCTCTGAGCCAGGCAGAAGAGAAAGACCACCTCTCTCTCCCCCTCTGAGACCCCCCTCCTCCCCCCAGTACCCCCCCCCCCTCTGTGAAAGCAGTGTGAATGGAGAGCCACATTCAGTGCGGATGAATGGGATGGGGTTGGAAACGGGTAGGGGGTAATTCTGACCAGCGCGGCCCTCCAATGCCAGAGCCACATGTGCAGCATATTAACATATGAAGTCCTGTCACTGCTGAGTCCACCCCCCCCTCAACTGACCCCATTCACACACACACATGCACACACACACACACACACACACTCAGTCTGTGGGTCAGGTGCGATGCTGTTTTATCACCAGAAATCTCCCAGCCGCTTAGGGGGATTGTGAAACCAACAGCGGGGTGAACTTACGGGCAACAAGGACGCAAGAGTGGCAGAGGGTGAGTGAGGCCCTGGGGGGGGCGGGCGGGCGGGCCTCACGCCAAAAACGTAGATTAAAAAAAGAAAGACCCTGAATGAGCCCCATAATAGCAATAAAAGACGAAGCTTCCACCGCCGGCGTTCAGAGAGGAACCGTGCAGCAATCTGCAAACCCCCAAACCATCGAACTGCAGTTCAGCAAATTGGAAAAACAAGAGCAAAAAAATGTGAGCAGAGGGCCAAAGAAAACGGAGCCCGGGCCCTCGCTGCACAGGGACCCTTCTTTAGACCGCTTTCCTGTTAGACTTTCCCTCATCGAGACAGTGCGTCACACGCTGAGAGTCTACAAGCCAGGCAGATGTTAACCCTTTACAGGCCTTTTCCTGAGGAGCTGCACGCACACACACACACACACACTCACACAGTGTCTGCAGGGTCCGCTCTGTTTGGACTGAGCCTCTAACTACTCTCCGTACTCCCCTCAGGCTCTAATCTGTTTTACAGCACAGAGGGTTTAATGATCAGATTACAGCAGCAGCAGCTCGTCTACCTGGACCAGAAGAAACCAGCTGACACATGTCACCGCCGTACAGAGCTGCATGCTAATACCATAATATGAAGGAAGCAGCACCTCTAACCCCTCTGCTGACTGAGCGTGTGTGTGTGTGTGTGTGTGTGTGTGTGTGTGTGTTGGTAGGGGGCTAGTTATTAATCACTGCCTGAGAGCTGACATCAGGCAGCCAGTAAACGTTAATTAGGACCACCCAATGGCCGGGCCAGTGTCATTAGCTAATTGAGTTTGTTTATGTGTTTGTGTTTGTGGGGACAGTTTAAAAAAAGAGAAAGTGTGTGGTGAAGGGGGGAGGCAGGGGGAGGCGGGGGAGGACTTGTCTCATCCAGCGCCCTGTTGTGGTGACATGTCCTTCAGCTCAATCCATAGGGAGGAAAAGAGAAAGAGCGGGTTAGAAGGATGGAAATACAGCCTCCCCTCTCTCTCTCTCTCTCTCTCTCTCTCTCTCCCCCGCCCTCAGCTCGACCACCGCTCCGTCTCAGGAACCCGAGGCCACGGCTGGAAACTCTCTCCACAGGCGAGCCGTGGAAAGAAAGACATAAAAACCGGCACGGCAGCGTCCTCAGAGCTGTGTTTCATCCCTCCATAAACGCTGATTTCCACAAGAATGCACGTTTGTGAAAAATCACACAACCCTCACACACACACACACGCACACATTAACACACACACATGTGAGCTCATGCAGCCTGCAGGCCCTCCCTGGTGTGTGTTTCACACGCCACCTCTGCTCCTCCCCGGGGTGCTCGGCCTGATGCTGCAGTGTGCAGAGAGCGGCGATGCCTCAGCATGGCTGCACGGTCTCAGATGGCCTGGTGTGGCTGGCTGTGGTTACGCCTGTTGAGTCCGCCTGACCACCACATGATGAATCACATCCCCGCTCTGTCCAAAAATGACACACACACATGCACGCAGGCCGACCCGCCAGATCCAAACACAGCTCAGAGCGAAGAGAAACAACTGTCCTCCCTCTCTCTCTCTCTCTCTCTCTCTCCCTCTCTCTCGCCCCTCACCGTGTGTGCGTGGAGATTAATTTTAACAAGCCAGCGGAGCTCTGAGCAGCAGCAGCAGCAGCAGCAGCGCCGGGCAGGAAAGGCTGAAAATCCACCAAGGAGCAAAGGGGAGGAGGGGGAAAGCCGAGCCGCAGCCCTCCGCCGCTGTCAGGGTCTCTCTTCTTCTCACTCTGTGATTTGTGCCCTCGGCCAGGTCCGATTCATGTCCCACAGATAGCTCAGCTCATGCCCCAGTAGGCTTGTTAGAGCAGTTGAATGAACGCCTACATGTAAGGATTTGGCCCAAAAGCGAGGACAAAAACAACAACAAGAAAGCAAATCCAGGCGGACAGACGACAAAGTGAGACATTGCCCGGTTTGTTTTGTAACTTTCTGCTTTTTATAGGCGGCGCAGCGCAGCGGTCACTGAGATCATTGTTGTCTGCTGGTGAAGCTTTTCCAATTTCAGCCACAGATACAAAGAAACTCCATCTGAGGACGCCGTCCAGTTTTCCTCTCCTAGTTTCAGTCTTTGATTAGATTTGTTAGCTGACATGAAACTCAGAGGGTCTGATTCATGAGACGATATCAACACCTGAAACACTCGTGTTTATCCCAGTTTGAGTTTCTACTGTCGTCTCTTTAATTCACCGTAATAAACATCCTGTAGACAAAAACTATGAAATATGGCGGCTGAGTTAGTCAGTGGATTAAATGGAAACGGGTCAGTATAAGGATCAGTAACATCAAGATAATCAATGTAATCAGGGTTACACACTCACACCCTCAGAACTGAACCAACGCAGAGACTCAGACTGAGACAGAGCGCACCGACACAGGAAGGACACACCCACAACTCCTTATATGGTGCTCATTGGTCATTTACAGGTGGATCACTCAGTCCGTTTCCATGACACTCCAGAAAACCGAATTATCGCCTTATTCCGATAAAGACCGGACAACTGAAGGTCATGTAAACACTTTAGTCCGACTATAATCAGAGTTTAAGAACTCGGATTAAAACACCCAGATAATGAGATTGGAATTAGATTTCCTCTACCATGTAACCAGCGTAGTTGGAGTATGAAGCCACGCCCCTGTAACCCCGTAACAAACCCCCAGAGTAGAGGAGTAGCGTTGGTCTCCTCTTTAGAAAAAGTAGCGCGTCCATCATGTCGGACAAAAACAACGCTGTACGATGCTCCATCTTCTTGTTTCTCCAAAATGCCCAGCAGCAGTTGTAGACACTTCTGACGTCTGACACCGACCTGCTGTTGTTGTTGACGGTTGTACGGGGTCGGAAACAGCGCCGCTGAAAAGACCCGGAGGCAAAAACACCAAAACTTTCTTTAGATGAGAGATTCTCCATCAAAAACAGGAAACGCTCCGATCATCTACGGCAGCGTCACAGATTCAGGAGCTGAGGCTGATCTTTACCTCAACTCTTTAAAGCTCCTGGAGACAACTCTCAGTGTGCGTTGACTGTGGCGCCCCCTGTGGGGAAACCTGTTATAGTTAACTGCATCACATCTTAGTTTTCAGTCCAAACCGTTCATCATCGTCATCATGAGTGAAGGTCACTCTGAAGAAGAAGACCGTGAGTCTCTTCAGGTATCTGGTCCGACACCAAAACCCTCACGGTCGTCTACAGCGGGAGCAGCTGCAGACTCGGGTTCAGGAGCAGAGATGGTATTTTGGAAACGTCCTGTTTTCTCTGGCAGGTTCTGGTTCAGAGATGGGCTGGAAGTTTGGGTTCAGGGGAGTCACAGAGCTCCTTTTTCCCACACTCATCATTCTGCAGACTGACACACAGAGTGGGTAACATGACATCACAGAAACCATCCCAGTCAGGACACACACACACACACACACACATGCATGCATGAGTGTAAACGTGTGTGTGTGTGTGTGTGTGTGTGTGTGTGTGTGTGTGTGTGTGTGCGTGTGTGTGTGCGTGTGCAGCTGTCTGGGTCTCAGTTAGTCTGACAGAAAGCTGCCTCTGACTGTGTTCGCTCTACTATTTGGTGTACTTTCTTACAGCTAATAGACCACCAGGGATTCGGCTCAGCCAATCACCTGCGAGCTTACACTCCTGAGTGAAGAACGGCGCTCTTCCAGTGAGTAAGGTGAGCGACTGAGGTAATAAAAGAGAGAAACAATGGGAGGAGAAAATCAGCCATCAGGAAGGTAGATTCCTGTTTCCATGGCACCTTAGCGTGGTGAAGGAGCCTACCTGCCTCCACCCCCACTCCACCTCTCCCTGCGCCTCACCTTCCCTCCCCTCCAGCACACCTCTTACATGCCTCGGAGGAGTGTTGGAGCGCTCGGTGGAGCACATCCACCAGAGATGCTCCTCAGCCAGGCAGGGGTGGAGAGACACCTCCAGCTGGATGCTGGGATCCAGGGAAGAAGCTCTAAAATTAGCCTCAGCATGGGGTGCAGGAACGGGGGGGGGTGGGGGTGGAAGAGGAGAAGGAATGCTGGGAGGCAGCGAAGGGAGGGCGGGTGGAGAGGGTGGTGACAGCACACATCCACTGAGACGCCTCTCTGCACACTCACCGGGCTGTGGCAAATTAAATGTCTGAACTAGCACTTCATAAACACACACACACACACCTCTCCACACACTATTACGCATGTTCATAACACTGGCTGTCACCCACACACACACACACACAGGAGCAGAGAGCACACACACACACACACACTCAGCACATCATTAAATGATTTGCTTATTGTGGGATCAGTGGGCGTCTTTGCCGGGGCTTAAGCTCCATGAATGGTGTGGTGTCAAATGGGCATCTGTGTCCCCGTGTCCCACTTAGTCCCCTGCAGAGGAGCCCAACCTGCTGCTCAGTGTGGGAGAGCAGAGGGCAGATGGGTAGAGTCCGATTATAGAGTCGTCTGACCTCTCTCACAGGCAGCTCCCTGTGCTTCGTGCCCAGAGACTCACAGAAAGACTGTTTGTTGTTGGTATTAGCAGCTAAACGGCTTAACGGTTAGCAGACCTGCTACCAGAGGGTCCGGCACAGACTTGGACCTGCTGCCAGAGTCTTAGACCGGAGGGGAGGGGGGGGGTTAGAGGACACCGTGAGGAGCAGGTCCGCTCAGGTGAAGTCGTCTCATTACAGCAGGAAAATACTGATAATCAATGAAAATGACTTTAACACAAACGGAGGACTCTCAGACTGCAGCAGGAATGTCTCTGTTATGGAAAATGAATGAATGAATGAATGAATGAATGAATGAATTTCTAACATGTATGCAAAAAAATCTAACAGAAAAATGTCCTCCTCCTCCTCCTCCTCCTCCTCCTCCTGGTTCTCAGTCCTCACACTGTCCTCCCAGGGACGGGTCTAGGATTTTCTGGTGACGGGGGCGATAGGGGGGCACAGACTTAGTCTAGGGCTGTAAAATTTAAATAATAAAACAAACACTTAAAATCCAAGATAACACTGCTGCTTACCCTAAATGATAGAGCTGCAGCCATCGAATATTTCAGTAATCGAGTATTCTACCAAATATTCTACTAGTACTTGGACCCAAACGACAGACTCACATGAAGTTAGATCTCCTTTAGCCCCGCAACGAAGGACAGACTCGGAGAAACAGAGGACAATCGTGGAACAAGCGTGTGTGCATTAGCGGGTTGCAATGCTCGTAAGAAAGCTAATTGTCCCCAAAGACATTAGTGTCCGAGAGCTGAAGAGCTCCTGTTACCTGCTTCTGCTGCGACACCTGCAACGTTAAGCTACAAGCTAACGTGGAGAGGAGCGTGCAGAGCAGCGCTGACTCCGCCCACAACTCAGAGGCTATGTGTTGATGAGCCGCTGGAGCTCTGCAGAAGAAAAAAGTGTCGCCAACTCCTCAGTAAGGAAAGTCGATAGGTTGGCAACCCTGCAGGAAAAGCCCCTCCCATCATTTATTTTCTCCGCTCCACAAAACCAAAACAGCGCGAACTCCTCCTTCTACCGTGGTGACGTCACCTTCAAAAGAGTCCGAGCGAAACAGAGACGATGTGAGATTATAAACGAGAACTGGAGGCAGAGAAAATTCCCCGATCATTATTTGTAATCGAGGTATCGAGGAATCGTTTCAGCCCTACTAAATGATATAAGAGTGTGTAACATGACCATTTCCTTTGGATGTTCTGAGGCAACAAAACGTGATCAACATCTAAAGAAAAAGGAATGAACTTTAGGTCAATGTCAGCTTTTTTTATATCGAACATTTAAAACAGCCAGTGGCCTACTGAAGAACTTTACATTAAAAATGAGAAATGATGAAAAAGGTCGTTTACATACAGAGAAGAAAATCTAAAACAGAAATGAGTGTTCGAGTGTTTTTACTCTGGAACAGAATCCAGTCCTCTCCTAATAAATCTGTTTCCTATAAATGAATCGATCTTTGCTGCTGTGACTCTGTGAGGTTACCTGTCATGTGATAATAAAGGATTTAAGGATAAATACATCCAATACTGCACTACTGTATAATTTAACTGTCATATAATCGTATTTATAGACTTCATATTTATAACCATAAGTCTCATCTGTTCATAACCTGTACACACTTATAGTTATAACATATTCATAACAATGTGATATACCTGTGATATACTCATGTGTATATTTCTCCTTCATACCGTGTACATTTGTAAATATATATTTATACTTGCTCAGCACTTCTGGATGGATTCAAACTGCGTTTCTTTGCTCTGTTCTTGTGACATGTGCAACGACAATAAAGTTGAATTCTATTATCTTAAAACAAACAGTTGAAGCTCAGTCAGCTGGATAATGCACGTTTCCTTTTAACCCCTTATTTTCCTAAAATCACACACAGATGATGTCTGTACATGACAGCTGTTAAAGCTCCTGTGAGGAATAATCAGGTTCCTGAAATCACAGCAGAGACTGTCTCAGGACAGAAATCTGCACGCTGACCCCAGGAGTCATCAAATCGACCCGCTTCCTGTACCAGCTCTCCTCTTCACTCATTGGTCGGCCTCTGATGGTGACAGAGAGCGGCCCACTGGACGAGCGGCTCCATTAGTGTAAGTGTGGGTCCTAAGCACACTGAACCCACGGCGTGTGTTATTTCTGTGTCTTTTGCTACAGTTAAGCCTATGTACAAACCCGGGATAACACGAGCACACAAACTCTAAAGTAAACTGCGCTCAGATTAAGTTGAAGTACTGCTAACAGACTGTGTCAACTGTGTGCGCAGGCTGAGATGAAAAGGCCGGCGGTAATCCCCTCCAGTCCCGTCGATTTCCCTAATCTTCTCCTTTTGTTGTTGCTGGAGCCCAGAGGAGGGTGTGACGGGGTCAGGGGTGAAAGTTAAGAGCCTGGATGGACGGATGAAGGATGAAGGATGGAGGAGAAGGGGGCAGATGAGGTTTCATGCCCTGAGAAGACTCTGCGCCCCTGGCTCAAACCACCACTTCCCTCGCCGCCGCCGCTCTCACTCCCCCGACTGAGAGATAAGAGGACAGGAGGAGGGGGGGCTTTTCAGAAACACAAACAGGTTTCAGACTCACAGGGTCAAAGGTCAATGGGAGATCTTCCAGTGGTGAACACCTACCCCTGTTGTACTTCTCATCACACAGTCTCGCACACATGCACATGCATGTCCTCTGACTAAAGCCGCGTTAGTTTGGTCTTGTCTTTGGAGGAAGTTTTGGCCGGAGAACGACTCTCTCTCTCTCTCTCCCCTCTCTCCCTCTCTCTCTCTCTCTCTCTCTCTCTCTCTCTCTCTCTCTCTGTGAGTGAAACTACCTTCACAGAGCTTCATCAGAGTCAGAGGGTGAAGTCCTAGAAAGAGCTGTGGAAATATCTGCTGAATGTAGACGAACAGGAAAAGTTTACTCAAACACAGCTCGGCCTGAAAGACGGAGAGAATGACGTCTTGGCTTACACACCCACAACAATGCCCACGCTCTCCCTGTCCTCCTCCACCGTTTAGATGGAGGTGTGAAGGTCCCTCCCTCCAGCCAAATACCTGTGGGATTATAAATGCACAGCCTGAAACACGCCTGGCCTAAAGACCTGCCTACAATCGCAGCAAAAACAACATCCGAGCCGCGGCGCTGCAGAAATCCCCGGCCTTTATGTGAGAGGTGACTGGAGGAGATGAGGTTGCACTAGCATGTCTTCTCCTCTGTGACCCCGGGGGGTGATAGGTTGAGAACAGTGGCTCACATTGTTTCCCTGTACCACCCCCCCACCCCTCAGCTCTGCCTCCTCTTCACCCAGAACCCCACCCAGCTGAAGATCGAGTTAACTCTCGCCTGCGGTCACTCCACCTCGCAGGAACTCAATCCTGCTCTGCTCTGTGTGCGTCTCTCCTGGGCCGGCCGGTGAGAGGTTAAAGCTTCAGCTCCTTTTCTTGGATGATTCATTACCACCAAAGACCGGCTGCAGAGAATAAAGGCTCTAAGTGAGAGGAGCTGCTGCTGCTGCTGCTGCTGAACTGTGAGCAGATATCAATCAGCCGGCGTGCTGATATACCAGCCGCTCTGAGCCTTTGTGCTCCTTTGAGGACTCACGTGCAAATATATTCCTCTGGACCTGAACCGTTTGCAGTTTGGGTGTCCAGACCTCTGATTTACAGAGCGATACGTTTCTGCTGATTGTTATAGTGTGTAATAGTCGGGGAGGGAAATGTAACACATAAACTAAAGTCTCATCAAGCTCAGAACTGAAACAACCAGAGTTTACCTGAGCCCCCAGTAAGGCTGCACGATATTGGAAAAAAATAATATTGCGATTTTTTCAACCCTGCGATATATATTGCGATATTAAAAATACAGTATTTTCACCAGATGACCTGAATAGCACTTAATGTTATGCTGCACTGCTGAAATCTTGAGGACAGTTAATCTGCTCTGATCTTACCTCTTTTTGTGAATGTTAGAACGGCTTCTGTCTGTCTCAGAGATATTTTCAGCTTTTATTGTGCTGGGACGTTATTGTGGAAACAGATGAACACAGAACACGTGTTTTGGTCGACATCATCCTTCTTTTAACCGAAATAATTCCAGATAACTGACTTTCCTTTTCTTTTTGGCAACAAATCTTCATTTTCGGTGGTTTTCTCTTGTTCGTTGTTCATTTTGCGATCGTTGTTGTTGTTGTTGTTAGCGGTGTTGTACCGAGAAACGCATGTCCTCCGAGAATTGCATGCACCTCGCAAAACGCGCACTGCTTATAGTAGAGTGGTCCACGGAAATGTACAATTTAAAACCCATACAGTTCTTATTTGTTGGGCTAAACAGTCATGAGTAAAGTTCCGAAAGTAATTCTCAGCGGACACACGTCTCCCTCCATGTGCAGAACATGTGCAGGGGTGGGTTTTCTCCTCCCTGATTTTGATTGACAGCTGGCAGGGTAGTCTGATTGGCAGCTGAGAAGTGAGTCTGATTGGCAACTGAGTTAAGGACGAATGTGATTGGTGGATCGCTGCACAGCACATGCAGAGTCACATGGAGTGTATCTCAGTCGGTTACCCTTGAAATTAAATGAGTTCATTCACCTCCAATATCGCAGGCTCTGCGATGTGACTATCGCACACACGTACATCGCGATGATGATAGTCAAACGATATATTGTTCAGGCCTAGCCCCCGACACAAAGCTTCAGGTCCTCCTCATAACGTCACCGATAAAGGTTTTTCAAACTGAGAATATTCAGAGTCAGGATTCAGTTTAACTAAACCACAAAAAAAACAAACAGGTTAAACAAACAAAGATACTGAGATAAATAAGGTATGACTTAGTTTTCTGGTCAAATACGTCGACACAGAAGATGAAATATCACTGAAACTATTAAAATGTCCTGATTCAATAAAAATGAAAGAATCATAAATGTAAAAGTTTATAATCCAGCAGCATGAAGGTTCACAGTCATTTAGAGAGTTCATGAAGATTCTGCTAAAACTGGACTGAACAATTGGAGATAAACCAGATCCAAAGGTCCTCTCTGACTGAGAGTACTGTGATCAATAAATATTCACATAAGTCCCCTCTACAGGACTATCAATAAAACACAAACAGACACTGAACCACAGAGAGCGACCGTCAAACCAGAGACACAAACCTCAACCAGTAAAAACAGCTCGACACCGACTCAAGTTCTACACAACATACAGCAGATAGAAACAGATTCAACCAGAATCAACCAGATTAAACCAGATTAAACCAGATTTAAACAGATTCACAGATTTAAACAGATTCACAGATTTAAACAGCAGCAGACTCGTCCAACATTTTAACTGAATCAACTTTAAACAGGTCAGCTGGCTGCGCCTGCTAGCTGCAGCAAACACGTGCACGTACACACTCACGTTCACATGCGCAAACACACACAAGGATGCGTACTCACAGGACTGATGTAGCTCCCTCGGACCGTCACTCCTCCTCCTGGTTCTGAGTCCTCACACTGTCCTCCCTGGGGCGGGTCAAGGAAATTCTGGTGACGGGGGCGACAGGGGGGCACAGACTCAGTCTATGGTTTCACAGTAAAATTCAAATAATAAAATCAACACTTAAAATCCAAGATAACACTGCTGCTTACCCTAAATGATATAACAGTGTGTAACATGACCATTTCCTTCAGGATGTGCTGAAGCAACAAACCGTGATCAACATCTAAAGAAAAAGAAATAACTTGATGTCAATGTCAGCTTTTTATATCACCCATTTAAAACAGCCAGTGGCCTACTAAAGTACTTTACAGTTAGAAACAATAAGAACAATAAAAGTTATAAAAACGATAAAGGCATATAATATATAAAAACAGCAGTACAGATAAACATAATGTTAAGAAGGTCAGAGGTTAAGGGAACACTCACACTGCTCTAGATTTAGAAAGGATCGAGGATCTTCTAAAACACACCTGCCAACATTTGGGTTATAAAATCAGGGAGATTTTTGCAACTTTGGACAAATATAGAGATCCGATTCATAAATGAACGTGAACCATCAAACTACGGGAGAATCCCTGTGGGAGAAATGACAGGAGAGAGGTCTGAGGAAATACAGGGAAATAAAACACGAGTGTTGGCAGGTTAGGGTTTAAGACCAAGGCTTCAGAAGTTCATGTGTTGTTAACGCTGTAAAATATTATATCATATGTTGTTATTGCTCTAAAATATTATATATGTTGTTATTGCTCTAAAATATTATATATGTTGTTAATGCTTTAAATTTGTCTAAAATATTACATCGTATTTCAGCTCCTCATTGCAATGACTTAGATAAACCAAACAACAGTTTTCACACAACAGAACAAACACAGTAAATAAATGTACAGAGATCAAATATGTAAAACTACCTCCACAACAACAGCTTAGTGTCTTTAAAATATCACAAAAACATTAAATTAGAGTCACAAAAGAGTAAAATATTAGACACAGTCACTTTAGTCTGCCGTGTAAATTCTCAATGTTTGGTTTCAGACGGACTTTCAATGTAAAATAAATGAAATAATGATTATCAGACGGTTTATAATCCTTTCTGTTGGTCAATAATCTGGAAAAAAAAAATTGATTATTTCTGAAACTTTGACATTTATGTTCATGAAGTCTGACTTTGACTGTACCTGAGTTTACTCCACCGTTACTAATAACTACCGACATTACCAGTCCGTTACATTTACGCTTAAATATCAGATAATATCACCAAATATCACAAAATATCAGATAATATCAGATAATATCAGAAAATATCACGAACTTTCGCGCCTCTGCTCTTTGTCTTTTTGGCGCCTCGGTGATTGCGGTCCGTTCAGTAATTCCTCCCTTGGAAAATCATTACAGGACAAAAGTTCCTACCCATTATAAATATATAAAGAAGTGGTATTGTCCTTTTTTTCAGACTTTATAATTCCTCTTTAATATTTCTACATGATTTTCTCATCTAAGACGGGAGAAGGGCGATCCTACACTTCTCCTGTTCCTGTCATCCTGTATGCATCTGTCTGTTTGCTGGAAAGAATGAACTGTAAATAATAAAGGAGTAAATTATCTTATCTTTTGGGATTAAAAACGGCCTCCTGTATCTCACTCTGGTGTATTAAAATATCATGATTCCAGCCTCTGTCTGTAACACTTTGTTTTAATTATTAATTAAACTTTATTTCCTATATTCCTGAAACAGTAAATCTGACTTTAACTCAGAAAACACACGACAGACGTTTTTATTTTAGAAAATCTCATAATTCTGAATTTGGTTTCACTGATTATCAGAAAAATAGAGATTTTTTTTTTATCAGTAAGATTTGGTTATAATTTATATAATAATTATATCACTAATGAAGTGTAGGAATTTTGTGTAAGAACCTCATTTAATGAATCAGAATGTTTTATATTTTTCTGCTCTTTAACTGTATTTAAACCTCATTTTCCCTCATCTTTAAACTCCACCATTCTCAGGTTTAATAGGAGAGTAAATTTGTCATATAATCAGGGTACTTTAATTTTTTACTGCACTCATTGTTACCGTTGAATAGCTTACATACCCTTAAGTACCCTCGTCCTCAGAGAGCAGTATTTCTGCGCAGGTGTTTCTACCTGAGTGGAGGACGTGTCTGTCTCAGTATGAGTGTGTGTGGTATGTGTGTGAGTGTGTACACACAGGGAGGAGGAGGAGGTTCCTTTGTCTTGTTCCCAATGCTAAGGGGCAGAGCAGGGTAGCAGGGCCGGGCCGGCAGCTCATAAATCACAGCAGAGGATAGAGAGTAACAGCTCAAATTAAGATAAAACCCCCTTAATTATCAGCTAAACAGCCTGGTGTCCCCTCTCTCCCTGGGCTATCTGTCACCCAGCAAGCAGGCCCAGTCACCGGGGGACAGGCTTTACTGCTCCCCACACACACACAACACACACACAACACACACACTATCCATCTCTTCTCTCTTTCTATCACATAAGATCTCTATTTTTCTCACATACACACCAAACAAGCAAACGGAGGCGCTGGAAACTTCACAGATGCATCTCTGTTCACGCATATCAGCAGTCAACATGTGGCTGTCAATCAAATTAGCTGGTAACATATCACCTATTTGCATCTGTTAACCCCCCACACACACACACACACACACACACACTCTCTCTCTCTCCTCCCCCATCTCTCCTTTTGCTTATTCACCGCGCCAATTATCATTACCCTAATGACTTCTCAATGGCCCTCTTCAAAGGCTATCTCTGCCATGTCCTCCTCCTCCTCCTCCTCCTCCTCCTCCTCTCTCAATTTGTGGCCCAATGAGATGTCCTGACATTCCTGTGAGCTTACAGCAACACACACATTTACAAGCATGACCACAAGCATGGAGCTGAGAGAGAGAGAGAGAGAGAGAGAGAGAGAGAGAGAGAGAGAGAGAGAGAGAGAGAGAGAGAGAGAGAGAGAGAGAGAGAGAGAGAGAGGAGAGAGAGAGAGAGAGAGAGGGAGAGGAGGAGAGAAAGACGAGAGGAAAGAACTCTATTTTGGCATCTCTGTGGTGTTTGCCTTTTTTTCACTCTCTCCTCTTCTCCTCCTTTTTTCTTCTTCTCCTTCGTTCTCTCTGCAGTTCTCCTAGAGGCAGCGTATTGATTTTATATTAGGCCTGAGCTACCATCTGGCTGCTTTTCATTCCTCTGTTTTTGTAATGCAAGGAAAACAGAGAGAGAGGGAGAGAGAGAGGGAGAGAGAGAGAGAGGGAGAGAGAGAGGGAGAGAGAGAGAGACACCGGGCCCAAAATTCATTATGCCTTAAATAAAGACAGTAAGAGAGAGGAGAGAATACAGAGCAGCGTGTGTTTGAGTGTGCGTCTGTGCATGTGTATATATGTTTACATAGTGTGTGTGTGTGTGTGTGTGTGTGTGTGTGTGCGTGTGTGTGTGTGATGGGTAAAGAGCGTCTCCTGGTTGGATCTTCTCTAACAGGATCTCTTCATCCTCTTCCTCACTTAAACTCCTCTTCACTCCTAAACGACATGACGGATTAATCTCCAGAGGAGAATCTCAGGCCCAGAGAGAGCTACAAATCTCCATCTACCTCCATCTTTCCCTCCCCGTCCCTCAGGAGCGAGCTCGGCAGGAGCGTCGTCTCGTTCGCTCCTATCATGTATTGATTTGTTCCATCGACGTGTGATCGTCTGATGACAAATATTTAACTTCCTGCCACAGTATTGACCTGAAAACAGTGAGTGAGAGGGGAATTGAAGATGATGCTCTCTCTCTCTCTCTCTCTCTCTCTCTCTCTCTCTCTCTCTCTCTCGCACGGGTACGAGTATTGACCGTATGTAGGCTGGAGGGTTCACCTGATGCTGTCTGATGCAGTAAAGGGATGTTCCACTGTTTTTGAGTCAAGGTTGAGTGAGTCACACAACATGGATGAGGAGATGCTGATTCTAGAAGTCTAGAAGTAGATTTCCTCCTCTGGAAGGACACAATCTACTGCTTATATGTCTTGGTATAGGAATTGGCGGACGGTGAAACTCGCTGCTGTTCTGGATGCGGTGAAAATTGGTCTGAGTTTGATGGGTGTTGGTGTAACAAACGTCCCCAAATACTTGAAATAAAAGACCCCAGAGAAGGTCAGAGTGAGGAGTTTTGTTCACCAGGTTTGCAGTAAATGTTGTTTTGACGGAGAGCTGACTGGTTCAGCAGGTTCTACTTTTGTGTAATTGGACAGAAATCAGTCCAGTCTGACCTCCTGAGACACCGCGAACTCAGCAGGACGCCGTATCGGAGGAGGTCGGGCTGAATCCTCCGTATCCGCCGCCGACACGCTCTCATACTGATGTTGAGTAAACTGTCAGAGACTTGAGCGGAGGGGTTCCCGGCCCGCGCTGAGATCCAGGCCTGTTCTGTGATTAATGGTAGGGGACGCGCCCCACTAATTGTGGTTCCTGACACAGGCACACGTCCCCAGACAAAGCAGGACAGGGCTGGAGCAGGGCGCCACGCTCAATCACCGTCCTGCAGAACGCCGGAGAGCTGTTCTGGGGGTTCGGAGAGAGGAGAGAGAGGTCAGAGGATATGTGGAGGTGACAGCAGAGGAGAGCTGAGGAGGAGCTGTGGGGAGGAGAGGGAGTACGGAGGTTTGAGTACGGGGGAGACGAACCGAAGTACAAGAAGAGAGGAAGTCTGTCCGTACATGGGAGGAAGAGATTTACTTGATCCTCTCTGGATTATCCTCATTGGATCTGAATGTAAGTCTGCCTCACACACACACACACACACACACACACACACACACACACACACACCTGTTACAGTGTTATTGTATCATATAAATATATAAACTGTTGTGTTTGAATCTTTACAGTCCCGACAGACTAAAGGACTCCTCCGTCCGTCTGCAGCTCCTCTGAACCAGCAGGTCGAGTTTTTCACGAGGATCATTTTACAGCAGAGTAAACATTTTACCAGACTGACCCTCCGACTCTGTAAAAGAGCGGGAAGGCCAACGCTTTGTGCTCCTCCTCCTCCTCCTCCTCCTCCTCCTCCACCTGCCGCCGTCCTCCTCTGAGAGCGAGGACAGATGGAAGTCATGAATCGGGACTCCAGACTCTCGGCTCTATCAAGAAATCCCTTCATGGAGGGAGGGGGGGGGCAGACTGTTTCCATATTGTTTCTATCAGCAGAGAGGGGACTCCCTCTGTGAGACCACAGCCCCCCCACAGACCCGGTTCACATGGACCGGACCCGGACAGTCTGACCCGTCCTGCACACGCGTGTTCGTACGTGTTCATGTTCTTCACTTTACCTTCACAGCCCCTCACTTCCTCCAGGGTCCAAGTCATTCAGCTGGTACCCCCTTGGTCCCTTTTTGGCCTCCCAGGCCCCCCAGGCCCCCGTGAGCTTCCCACAAAAAGTCCACAATGCTATTCAAACAATAGGCCAAGGGACAAAGAGCACATTTACACAAGTGGAGCCTTCTTTGAAAGCAAAAAGGCACTATTGGAAGATTTCCAAACCTCGCCCCCCGCCCCAGAAAGAAAAAAAACAGAGACCCCTTTGCCCCTCCATACCCCACCCCTCCGTTAAAAAAAAGGAAGATCACCATTCCAGTGATGGAGACGTGGGAGCCGAATAAACTACACCAAGCCCAGTCCCACCCGCCAGTCCACAAGCACCCCCAATTTAGCCAAACCCCCTCTTTACAGGACAAAAGGCCTTTAGAGGCCGAGTCTCTGTGAGGGCTCTGGTGGATACCATAGTGGCTTAAAGACCGTGGAGGCCTCTGAGAGACTCCTCTTTTACTCCCAGCCTCCCTCTCTCTCTCTCTCTCTCTCTCTGAAAGGTTCAGCGAGGGGTAGAGAAGTTTGGAGAGAGGGGAGGAGAGTGGGGGAGGATGGGGGAGGGTGCAGAGGGTGCTCTTATGTCAACATTGTGGTATTTTCCCAAAGATGCATATCGCCTCTATACAAATAGGAGATGTATTTATAGGAGTACATAGAAATCTGCATGAGAGGAGGAGGAGGAGGAGGAGGAGGAGGAGAGGAGCGTTTGGCCCGGCTCTCTGGCCGCGGCCCCCTCGGCTCCGTGGACGCTCTTCATGGCGAGTGAAATTGTTATTCTTTGGATGCTCGTTGGCTGGGAAACACATAAGTTCTCAGGCGACCACACAGTACTCTCCCTCCCAATATGGCCGCCGCCGCGCAGAGGAGCCCATTGAAGGCCGAGGTCCAGCGCCATACATCTTCACTGGAGCCAGTATCCCGAGGTCTCTTTGTGGGCTGTGGTTGGGCGTCAGGCATGTTCAGGGGAATAAAGGAGGGTCACTCTGATCCTCCACAGCTCAGCTCAGACCTGAAACTGGTCTTCATCTGCCCCTGAATCCACAGACAGAGAGACTGTCCCAGACCGGGACGTAGACCTTTACATGGGGGACTCCATAAACCAGTTCAGATGGAAACACTCGATATCTGAACCCAAATAAACACAGAGTTTAATCATCCCACTGTGAGAATAACTCAGACTGGACCCAGACATCCTCACACCTCTGACCAAAGGGGAGTAGCACAAGTATTATTATTATTATTATTTTTATTATTATTATTATTTTTATTATTATTATTATTTTTATTATTATTATTATTATTATTATTATTATTATTATTTTTATTTTTATTATTTATTATTATTATTATTATTATTATTATTATTATTATTAGTAGTAGTAGTAGTAGTAGTAGTAGTAATAGTAACAGTAGTAGTAATAGTAATAGTATTAGTAGTAGTCATTTATTCAGTCATGACAGCACCAAATATTCTACACCAAATTGACATTTTACACTAAATCACTAAATCAATAATCATGTTGAATATTGACTGAACAGGCAGAAACAGACTGATTATAAAAGTCTTTCCTGTGTTTTAAACTTTTCAGTCTACAGACCTCCAGAAGAGCAAAGAAACAACAACAACAGAGAATTAATCCACTTATAAGATTCAAAAACAGATTTACAAACTATTAAAAACCAACAAAGACGGACCTGTTTTTAGATTTATGTCGGCATCATGACAGAGTTTAACTCCACTAACAGAGACTCGTCTCCTTTTTTAGTTTTTTCTACAGTAAATTAACAAACACCTCTGAGATTAAACGGACCGTCCTGAATCTAAAAGAACCTCAGTATTCAGTCAGGGAGCAGTTTTAATTTAACTCTGAACATTATTTACCTTATTTTATAATAAAACAGATCATAAAATTTCATAACATGAGAATTTAGAAAAAGTGTCTCCATGTGATCATAGTAATCAGTCTTATTGATCATACGTATAGCTTGTTTTTGCAGTTTGATTATTGATTATCGTGGTTTTAAAGGCGGATCCCCACAGTTCCACACAGTCAGATATATAAGGACTAATCAATGAGAAGGTGATCAAATACAAAACTTTGGAAATCAATACTTTTCTCGATTTGAACAGGATTGAAGTGATTTTGAATTTTTCCCTTTCATGTATTTAATGTGTCGTTTCCATGTTAACGTTTGATCAACTTTAGTCTCAGTCTCTCTGTCAATGTCAACATTACAGATTCTTAATTTAACATTAAAGTCACTTTCATTTAGATTCTCAAAAAACATATAAATATATATTTTTTAATATTTAGAGATAATTTATTGGCATCAAACCAAGTCTTGAGATTTTCCAGCTCCATTTCTACAAAACACTAAAGTTCCTTTAAATTTTTACAGGAGTAAAACAAACTGGAATCATCTGCAGACATTTCTAAATAAATCTGTGACACTGCAGATGTTATTGATATAAAGAATGAACAGTATTGGACCGATCAATGATCCTTGTGGTACGCCACATGTAATCATTAATCTGTACACACTAGTGTCTATAACTTAACCACCCCCCAGTATTCCATACATCTGTAAAAGTCTATTATTTGGATTTATCTCCCACTGAATTAAGGACTTAAATTTCACAGAAACAGATTTCCTATCTCAGGCATTAGTTTTCTATTATTATCTGTCATTATTTCACGATGTGGTCACTGTTTTTCTTCAACCCCGTTATGGACAAAAAGTAAACTCTCTGAATATGATAAAAAAAAAAACATGTTTTTCCAAAGAAAGTGATATTTTTATGTTTTTATATCAGTCAGGTGTCCCCCACACTGTCTCAGTCATTTTAAATACAAAAATGACACAGAAGCTCTCATCTAGGCTTTCATAGTCCTCAGGATCTACCAGATGGAGTGTATTTCAAAATAAAAGCACGGTTTTACACTGCAGAAAATAAAGCAACAATAAATTTAAATAAAGCAACAAAAGGCAAAAACTCACTTTTCCAAGTCCAACGAAGAAGCCAAGTCCAGAAACCCCGAAACACTGAAGCTCTGAGGAAAACAGGAGCTGTGCAGACGAGCTAACGAGCTCCAGGTGAGACTTTCAAAATAAAAGCATGAAAAACAGTCTGGGGTCACATCCGGAGAAGTTTGTGTCTGAGAGCTGCTGGTGAAGATAAACGAGAACATCATTAGAAACAGAGACGACTGAAGGACTATTGTGTTCCTGTGATAGTTGTGTTACTGTGATAGTTGTGTTTCTGTGATAGTTGTGTAACTGTGATAGTTGTGTTATTTTGATAATTGTACACTTCACAATAAATCTTTATAAACTACAGCACATACTGAAATTCCCTGAGTCCAGATTAATCATATTAGTGTGTAATATTCTGCATTAATATTCATTTTTTAATATTTGTGTTAATTCTGTATTTATATTAAAGACGGTGATCTGTTCTGTGCTATTACTGTGTGTGTGTGTGTGTGTGTGTGTGTGTGTGTGTGTGCGTGTGTGTGGGGATTATTATGGAGTCGTGACCTTCGTCTTTATAAGGTCATTCGTCTGCTGCTCTGGTTAAAGAAATTAAAGGACACTCAGTGATCTGTGTTTTTATTCTTCCTGATCGACTTATAGCCGATCGATCGATGCTGATCAATGACGTGCTCATACACTCTCTCAGTCATTGGCTGCAGTTTATCTTTGGATCAGTTTTTGTTTTCTTCGTTCTCCTAAAAAAACACAGAGCAGAGTTTATTAGACACCTGAAGTCGCTGTGATTGGGAGAGGCCTCTATTAGGAGCTTTACGGTATTCTGGTGTGTCCTCTCTTAGATCTGCTGATCTTTAGGCAGGTGAAACAGGCAGGTGGAGAGTCACCTGAGGAGTCTGCAGACTCACACACACACACAGACGCCGTAACGCCGTGTAAACCCCAAACTCAGTCTGAGAGTCCAGCAGAGGAGACCCTGACCCTGCTGTGATCCTCCTGCTGCAGAGGAGACCCTGACCCTGCTGTGATCCTCCTGCTGCAGAGGAGATCCCTCTGAATGTTTCTGCTCTCCTGCCAAACACCAGCCGCTGCTCCGTCACCCACGCTCACAGGCTTGTTGCTGCTCTGCACACTGTGTCCTCTGTGAACAATAGAGAGGTGACGGCTCTAATTACTTTGTGTAATTGTGGCCGAGTGCCTCACATGTTTGCCGGGTCAGAGCGTCTAAAAATACTCCGAGAACAAACGAACCGATTAGAGCAGAAGAAGAAACCGCCGTTCACTCCGACACATTTACTCTGAAGTGAGCAGAGAGGGAGCAGCAGCAGCAGCTCTGCTCTCAGAGTGAGCCGTTAGTAATCAACCCCCCCCACACACACACACACACACATGCACACACACATGCACACACACACACACACACACCCCAAACAGACCCTCCCAGGTGACATGACAGCCTCCTCTCACATAACCAGTCTCTGCTGTTTGCTAACGCTGCAGCTCTGCGCACATCACACTCACTACAGGCTCTGCAATCCTACACAGCAGGGAGCGGGTACAGACGCACACACACACACACCAACACACACACCAAACACACACCAAACACACACACCAAACACACTCACTACAGGCTCTGCAATCCTACACAACAGGCGGCAGGTACAGCAGCACAGACACACACCTGAACAACACAGACAGGGTCCTGCAGGGAGTTCCAGTTCCTCTGTGTGTGAGTGCGTGTGTGTGTGTGTGTGTGTGTGTGTGTGTGTGTGTGTGCGTGTGTGCGGGTTGATCACTGGCCCTGTTAGGTAGCATTGACGTCTCCACCTCAGAGCTGGCACACAGGGGAGTTATTGATTAGCATTAAGCATCCATGCAGATGGCCAATAAAGAGCAGGTGAGCCAAAGAGGGCCTGGGGAGACATGTGTGTGTGCGCTGCAGTGAGGAGGGGGCGGGGTGTAGAGAGGCCAAAAACAACAGAGACGATGAGAAAAACAGAGAATAAGAGGAATTTTCACACAGAAGGAAACATGAACGTTGGAGTTTCTCTGCAGATTCAGACGTTTATAAATCAGAGTTTCATTAAATCTGTTTGTTGTTGTTTTAAATGTATAAAAATGTGTGTGTGTGTGTGTGTGAGTGTGTAAAGTGTGTGTAAAGAGTGTGTAAAGAGTGAATCCTGAGCTGCAGGAGTACGAAACACTAATCCTGTTGGTTTTCGGTTAATCCAGCAGGAAGCCCGCTTCGCTCTCATCCTGCCGCTTTAATATTTCGCCGGCTCCTGCATGCTTGTCAGGTATTGTGCATCAGCCCACAACTCCCCTGTCATATCTGTCACTTTGAATCCAGCGTGTGCACTTGTGTAATTCACTGATCATCCTCAGGATACACACACGCGCACACACACACACACACACACACACACACACACACACACACGCCTATTTTTAAAGCGTTGTCTTCAGCAGAGGAGGACAAAACGCTTGAATTCTTCGGTTTATAATAAAGTCTTAAAAAAAGCACAGATTCCACCTTTAACGTCATATTTATTGTTATTTAGTTACTCAATAAAACATATACAGATATATACAATATGCAGGAAAACAGACGACTGCACTTTACATATTATTAAAAAAGAAAACAAAAAAGAAAACATAAATCAGTTCGTAAATTGCCGTCACAGTCCTCCAACTATTGTTTCAGAAATTCAAATTTAACAGAAGCTTTATTTAAAGATTACAAGATTGCCTAACACACAGCAAATTTTCTCTTATTATACATGTGCAATACCAATAGTCTCTTTTTTTTTTTCCTCATTTCCCTTATTAAACACTCCCTCCACCTCCGTCAGGTCTGCGGTTCCAACGGCTGAGCGGTATAGAAGTGGTGGAGCACATGTGGTTGATGGAGGTATGTAGAAAATGGAAGAAGAAGAAAAAGGAGGGAAACAGATTCCCAGAAATACAAAGAATGGAAAATTACAACAAGCTGTGACCTGTTTGAATGATAAAAGTGAGGAAGGGGCTCCACGACGACGGCGGCGGAGTTACATTCATGCACATTTTCAGACGTTTTCTGTTTCCACTCGTTCTCAGCGCCGCCGCCGTCGTCGGAGCGAACACAGCGAGACGTGAGGCCGGAGATGAGGGAGAAAACGACGAACACGGTTCTGATGGACTCAACACTGGGATACAATCACCGCCACTGACAACAGAACTTCCTGTCCCGCTCCTCCTCCTCCTCCTCCTCCTCCTCCTCCTCCTCCTCCTCTTTATTTTTCTCCAACAAAGAAACAAAAAGATCCGTTTGAGGTTTTCCAGATGTGGGCGTTGATGAGTGGAGCCCGCGCTGTGGAGTCCAGCTGTGTGTGTGTGTGTGTGTGCACGTGTGTGTGTGACTACATGTATCAGAAAAGATATAGTATTAGCATGTGTGTGCATGTGTGTGTGTGTGTGTGTGTGCACGTGTGTGTGTGTGTGTGTGGTCATTTTGCACGTCAAAGTCTTTCTGTCCCTGAACAGACAGGAGCTGCTCGGACACCACCTCCTCCACCTCCTCCACCTCCTCCTCCTCCTCCTCCTCCTCCTCTCTTTGTCCCTGGAGCTTCGTCTCCTGCTCCCGTCGTTTCCTGTCCTCCTCCGTTCGGCGTTTTTTTGTTCAAGTCAGTGCGGCCACGAAAGTCCCGAACCGGTTGGAGATGTCGGAGTGCAGCGAGCGCCAGGATGAGACGGGTCCCCCTCGGCCCTTACTGTCCCCCAGCTCGTCTGTGCAGTGGACGGACAGGCACTGCAGGTGGTTCCCTGCTCCTCCTCCTCCTCCTCCTCCTCCTCCTCCTGCTGCTCCTCCTCCTCCTCCTCCAGCCTTACTCTGGGTCAGCTCAGACT